TCCCCTAACATGCTTCTCGCCGCGTTTCCCGTTCTGGTCTTCCTCTGAGCTCCAGCTTCCTTCTCCTTCTTCTTGAGCCGCCGCAAAAATAATGGCGACTCTGGAGGACATTGGCGTCTCTGCCGCCATTAACATCCTCTCAGCTTTCGCCTTCCTCCTGGCTTTCGCCTTCCTCAGAATTCAGCCAATCAACGACCGCGTCTACTTCCCCAAATGGTACCTCGCCGGAGCCAGAACCGGCAGCCCCGGCTCCGCTGGCCGGGGAGTCATCGGAAAGTTCGTCAACCTCAATTTCGCTACTTACTTCACTTTCCTCAACTGGATGCCTCAGGCCCTGAAGATGAGCGAAGCCGAGATTATCAACCACGCCGGCCTCGACTCCGCCGCTTTCCTCCGGATTTACATTCTTGGGTCCGCTCCTGTTTCACTGCAATTCTGTCAATTTTTTTACTTTTCGCTGTCAATTTTCTTTTGCTGTTGCTTTCTATGTTTATCTTTTTGCGCTTGTATTCTTTCTGTTGGCCGTCAATTTTTCCCTACTGTTTGTTTCTTCACGTCCGTTAGCTTACTTCAGTAACAAAGGGCTACAAGTCTGAAAGGAAATACCTCCAATGGTTTGATTCTCTTCTAGCTTAGTGAGAATTTTTTTAGCTGTAGTGTTGACTGTACTTGGACTGTATTTCTATGGCGCCTGACTTCTGAGACGGCTTCCAGTTCTAATAAGGGCCTAAACTAGGAGGAAAGTTGCAGACATTTTGTTCAATTTCACCATTTATGAAATTCGGTTGACCTTGTTCAGTTGTTCCTTTGGGAGGATTGAACTGATGGGAAGCTTTTTGTGGAGTTCAGCCCTGCTTACCTTTTTCCCATTCTTGTGGCAGGCTAAATATCTTTGTACCAGTGACACTATTGGCACTCCTGATTCTTATTCCAGTCAATGTATCAAGTGGGACACTGTTCTTTCTGCGGAAAGATTTAGTAGTGAGCGACATTGACAAGCTATCAATCTCGAATGTGCGTCCAAAATCCAACAGGTATAGATGCAATTGCACTTTAACTAAGTGGGTTTAAACAGATACAAACAGTGAGATTAATAGTGAAACAGTGAAGTCCATTCCTTTTTTCATCACAGCTTTTTACTACCCTCAATTATGCTCGCGCGTTACAGAATGTTTGAACATCTCTTGTTTTGAATTTCAGATTTTTTGTCCACATAGGGTTGCTGTATGCTATATCATTTTGGACATGTTGTATGCTGTACAAGGAATACAGCTACGTAGCATCAATGAGGCTGAGATTCTTGGCCTCGCAGCAGAGGCGTGCTGAGCAGTTCACTGTGAGTTATCACTCATTTAGCCTGCCACAGAGTTCATAGAAGATGAAACATTTATCTACTCTCCTGACTTTTCACAAAGCTGGGAAGGGAGGGTATCTAGTTAAGCATAGTGCATCATCTTTTCTCCTATTGTATGCAGGTGGTTGTCAGAAATGTTCCACGTGCTTCTGGTAAGTCAACGTCGGACTCAGTGGATCACTTTTTCCAGAAAAACCACCCTGATACTTACCTTTGTCACCAGGTGAACTAGTTTCGTTGTGATACTCTCTTCTTTCCTTTGTTGTTTTCCTTCAGAATAAGTTGGTTGAATATGCAACATGGTTGGAAGAGAAGTAACTTCATTATGCCCTAACCCGTGTCATATTCTATGTTCTGAAGCATACTGTGGCTTTTTCTTTAGGCTGTCTATAATGCAAATAAGTTTGCTAAACTCGTAAGGAAAAGAGACAGGCTGCAGAACTGGCTGGACTACAATCAGCTTAAGTATGAAAGGAATCCTGAGAAGAGGCCAACCCGAAAGGTAACTTCTCTGACACTTAGAGGGCAATCATGAATTGTTTCCGGTGTGCTTCTTCCATGAAGAAAAGCGTGAGCAAACTGAAAATTTAGTGCTTATTGAGTGCTTAAATGGTCTTCCAGCCTGCATAAGTGACAAAGCTCCTTGTGTGTTTGGGATCTCACTTACACTTGGTATGGCGATTTCTGATTAGATCTTCTTTTCGCCTTCAGACAGGATTTTTGGGCCTTTGGGGCAAACAGGTTGACTCCATTGAATATTACAAGCATCAGATAAATGTTCTTGAAAAAAGAGTAAGTAGTGAAAAATGATTCATATGCTGACCTGTATAAACTTTTACTACTCTTTTAGTCAATATGGCAGATGGAAACTTGAACTGTTCTAAAAGGTTTTTGCTTGCTTAAGTGAGCCTCGTTTTTACTGTCCTGTTTTTCAGATGGCTCTGGAGCGCCAGAAGATTCTCAAAGACTCGAAATCAATATTGCCAGTTGCCTTTGTTTCATTCAAGTCACGTTGGGGGGCTGCTGTTTGTGCTCAGACACAGCAAAGCAGGAACCCTACTTTATGGTTGACAAATTGGGCTCCAGAACCACGAGATATTTACTGGCGGAACTTGGCCATACCATTTGTTTCATTGACTATCCGGAAGCTTATAATATCGGTGTCTGTTTTCGCATTGGTCTTCTTCTACATGATACCCATTGCTTTCGTGCAATCTCTTGCAAATTTGGAGGGCCTTGAGAGGGTTGCTCCATTTCTCAGGCCAGTAATAGAATTGTAAGTCAACCCCATCTTTCCATTATCAAACGTGGTATGTTTGTTCCCTTACTTGAAAAGGTTGCTATTTTGCTGGTACACTAATCTTAGGACTGTTTTCCAGACATTTCATTAAGTCATTCCTTCAAGGTTTTCTTCCCGGGCTGGCTCTAAAGGTCTTCTTGTACATTCTGCCCGCAATTCTGATGATAATGTCGAAAATCGAAGGTTTCATCTCTGTATCAAGTCTCGAACGGAGATCAGCCGCAAAGTATTATTATTTCATCTTGGTGAATGTATTCCTAGGAAGCATAATTACTGGAACAGCTTTTGAGCAGTTGGATTCTTTCCTTCACCAGTCACCAACAGAGTAATACTTCATTTCCTTCGGCTTGAACTCTCTGGTTTATTGGAGATAGTAAATTCAAGTAAAAACTATCACTTTTATTTGTCAACTTTTTACCTGCTTTATGATTGGAAATAAGAACAACCTTTAATTATTACGCAGGATCCCGAGAACTATCGGAGTTTCCATCCCGATGAAGGCTACCTTTTTCATCACATACATCATGGTCGATGGCTGGGCTGGAGTTGCTGCTGAGATTCTCAGATTGAAGCCATTGGTCATATTTCATTTGAAGAACCTGTTTCTGGTCAAGACTGAAAGGGACAGAGCCAAGGCTATGGATCCTGGCAGCGTAGCGTTCGCTGAGACTCTGCCTAGCCTTCAATTATACTTCCTGTTGGGGCTTGTATATGCAGTTGTCACCCCTGTCTTGCTCCCCTTTATACTCGTGTTCTTTGCCTTTGCATTCTTGGTTTACCGTCACCAGGTCAGTTCACTCTGCTTCTTCTTCTTAGTGCTGAACATTTTGTGATGTGTTCTTCACGCATAGTCTACCACTAAAGAACATGAAATCTGACACGTATTGCAAATCATGAACTTGTGGTTGGTGATGGTGCAGATTATCAATGTGTACAATCAGCGGTACGAGAGTGCTGCAGCATTCTGGCCGCATGTTCACAGCCGGATAATTGCAAGCCTGCTGATAGCTCAACTCCTGTTAATGGGCTTGCTCGGCACCAAGAAGGCTGCCAATTCCACTCCTTTACTAGCCATCTTGCCCATATTGACATTCTACTTCCACCACTACTGCAAGCATCGATTCGAACCAGCATTCAGAAAATACCCACTTGAGGCAAGTGAATAACGTAGAATTGACTCGACTCTCCCTCTCCTTGTTCTTTGCTCTTCGATTGCTGATGAACTTGTTTGCTGTTATTTCTTATCCAGGAGGCCATGGCGAAGGACCTTGCAGAAACTACTGCAGACTCTGACCAAAACTTAAAAGCATACCTGTCCGATGCGTTCCTACACCCGATTTTCCATTCATTCGAGGAACAAGAGTTGGTTGAAGTGAGAGTAGACAAACAACAGAGACAGGCTACTAATGCCCAGATCAGTGAAGTCAGCCCTCCATCGCCGCTGCAACCAGTTCACCAGTCTTCTTCTTCCCCGCCACCACAACATGAAGAACATGAAGATATCTATTATCAACCTTCCAATCCTCAGTATCAATATGATCCTTCAGTTCCATCTCATTACACCTATCAGCCACCCCATTTCCCTCATTACGCTTATCATTATCAAGATCAACCTTGATCCATAAAAGCTTATTGGTCATCCATCAGCTTCGTAGATAAAGAATTTGCTAATTGTCTCGACTCTTTCTTCTCACCAACTCCAACCCTCTTCAGTTTGATTATCTCCTAGAGTTATGAAGTTATGTCTGCAGAAGAAAGTTTCAGCATGGAAGATGGTTTTCTCTGCCTAGTAAACAAGCCCTATTATTCCATGGTGGTTTTCAAGTGTTCCATATGTAATCTCAATTCTGCATTCAAACTTATTCAGCCTCAGTTGTTACTTTTGGCATTGTTGGTAGTTAAGCTAAAACGGCCAGCCAATTCAATTATGTTCTGGTCTCTTCTGTACATATATCGTGAGCTCTGATTATGGTTGCTAAATCATCTTAATTCCATTGGTAATTCATGGAACAACAGCGATCGATCCCAAATCCGAAACTCAGACCGTGATAACTAAGCCCAGAATAGGAATAGGATATGCTATCATGAATCGTGATGCGACAAGCTTTCTATCCAAGTGAAGAAGACGAACTCGACCAATTCACCGAACACTTGGCGCCTGTTTTGTCTAAAACTTGAAGCCACCTGCCCTCCATTGTCCCGATTAGGTGTTAAGAAATGGAGGCCATGCAGCCATGCAAAGTGAAGAATGGCGGAAGAAACCTGTCCACCTCATTTCTTATGTGGCGATCCTTCAATGCCCTCCTTTCTCCTATAAAAATACCCCAAACACCTGCAAATTTCAACAACACTGCTCACTTGATACTTCCACAACATCATCATGGCGAGGTCTAGCAGCTCTTCACTTCTCTGCCTCTCACTGTGCCTTTTCGCACTCCTCTCCCACACTTCTCAGGGTAGGCAGCAATGGCAGCAGGGAAACGAGTGCCAGCTGGACAGGATCAACGCGATCGAGCCTGACAACCGCGTCCAGAGCGAAGCCGGTACCATCGAGACTTGGAACCCAAGCCATCAGCAGTTCCAGTGTGCTGGAGTTGCCATTGTGAGGCGCACGATCGAGCCCAATGGCCTGCTCTTGCCTTCCTACAGCAACACTCCTCAGCTCATCTACATCGTTCAAGGTACTATACTATGCTGTAACTAGTTACTCTGCGATTTCATTGTCTGCTTAGTCAGTTGGATTTGGATCAACTGTTGATTATTGACCACATTTTCGCTGATGTGATTCGTAGGAAGGGGACACACTGGAATCATGTTCCCGGGATGCCCCGAGACATTCGAGGAATCGCAGCAGTCAGGGCAACAACAGTTCCAAGAAGGTGGCAGCTCCCAAGACCAGCACCAGAAGGTTCGCACCTTCCGTGAAGGTGACATCATTGCCATCCCTGCCGGCGTAGCCCACTGGTGCCACAATGATGGTAACGAGCCTGTTATCGCTGTGACCGTCCACGACACCTCCAGCCACCTGAACCAGCTCGACAACAACCCCAGGGTCCAAAACCGACCATTTCATTGCATAGCTGTAATTTGGTAGTTTCCCCTGATCCAACAGAATATGGAAATTGTTGTTTGATTTGGTTTTGCAGAACTTCTACCTGGCCGGGAACCCACAAGACGAGTTCCAGGAATCACAGCAAGGAGGAAGGCTGAGCCGCGGCCAGGACGAGAGGCGAAAGAGACGCCAAGGAGGCTCCACCTCATGCAACAACCTCTTCTGCGGACTGGACTCCAGCTTCATCGCCGAGGCTTTCAACATCGACGAGAGCTTGGCCAGGAAGTTGCAGGGCGAGAATGACAACAGAGGCAGCATCGTCCGAGTTGAAGGCCAGCTGGAGTTTGTGCGACCTCCGAGAAGGATTCAGGAGGAGAGACAGCAGCAGGGTGGCCGTGGCGGACGCTTCCAGCCTCTCGCCAACGGCCTGGAAGAGACCTTCTGCTCCATGAGGCTGAAGGAGAACATAGGAGACCCCTCACGAGCAGATATTTTCACTCCTGAAGCTGGCCGAATCACCACCGTCAACAGCCACAACCTCCCCGTCCTTCGTTGGATCCAGCTCAGCGCCGAAAGGGGCGTTCTTTACAACGTAAACACCTACTGCTTCTCCCTCTGCATTCTCTAACTCCATTCCCAATGAAAGCCATTCTTAGAAAGTGGTCTGTTTTTGCAGGAAGCCATGAGGCTGCCGCACTGGAACCTGAATGCCAACAGCATAATCTACGCCATCAGAGGGCAGGCCAGAGTCCAGATTGTGAACGAGAACGGCAACTCGGTGTTCGATGGTGAGCTGCGCGAGGGACAGGTGCTGACGGTGCCCCAGAACTTTGCGGTGGTGAAGCGCTGCGAGAGCGACAGGTTCGAGTGGGTGTCTTTCAAGACCAACGACAACGCCATGGTCAACTCGATCGCAGGACGAACCTCTGCCATCAGGGCTATCCCGGCTGATGTTTTGGCCAACGCATGGAGGGTATCTCCGGAGGAGGCCAGGAGGTTGAAGTTCAACCGCCAGGAGACTCACCTGGCCAGCTCAAGGTCTCAGTCCTTCAGAGCTGTCGCTTAGAGGCTAAAATGAGAGCTGCAGCTTAGATGCCAGCGGCTGACGTTCTGAGTTTGTATGTAACGGGAAGCAAGTTGTGGAGACTGGGGAGTAGCCCATCACCCACTGTAAGAATAATGTAATAAAGTAAGGAGTAATTAGAAGGAGCTCCAAATGTTGGCAATTTATGGAACACAGAGTTCGATCCAAATCCGAAACCAACCCAGACTAACAACGATACCAGAATATGATTTACTACTATGATATTGATACATACATGCAAGCTTTCTCTCAAAGTGAAGAGAAAATAGGGACCCCTGGCAAGGTGGCTCCAGCATCCACAATGAAAATATTGCCAGTCACATACTGCGACGAATCGTGGAGGAGGTATCGAATGAGCGATGTCAATGCCGGATCTGTAGTTCCGTAGGTTTGTAGAGGGAGTGTTTTCTCAGCAACCCGAGGCAGCCATTTTTTCTCCATCAAACCTTTCGTGATCTCAGACTTGAAAATTCCAGGCGATATTGAGTTAACCCTGATCTTGTACACCCCCAACTCCAGCGCCATCACCTGCGAAAACGGGTTACATCTATCATGAACCAGTCATCCCAATTCGATCAACCAATTCAGGAAAGATGTGACTTTGAAGGAGATATTTGGATTAGGATGTAGTCATTCGAAAGGATGTTCATGGAGATTGGGCATTGGTAACGATATTGAAGTCCTATGAAGCTATGTTTGCTATCCTATCCTATCCATCACATCATCAAGCAAGTTCAATGCACATGACGAGAAAATGCATAGTTTACCTTAGTCATGGCATTAACTCCCGTCTTTGAAGAAGCATATCCAACAGCACCAGGCAATTGACCGCGGTGGAGACCTGCAACCGATGAAATGTTGATTATGGAACCTCCAACCTTGGCATCACGCATCCTTATGCCAACCGACTTAGAAACCAACCAAGCCCCCGTCAAATTCGTCCTGATCACATGATTCCATTCCTCTTCAGTCAAGTCCAACGGATTCTTTACACTCCCTCTCACGCCTGCATTGTTGATCAAGGCATCTATCGTCCCGAACGCCTCCCAAGCCTTCTGTACAGCTTGGTCAATGGCAGCACCACCTGCTGATACGTCCAGCTCAACGGCCACAGCACGCAGACGATTGCTAAGCTCCCCTGAAGAGGATGAAGAAGATTGAGGGGTTGTGAAGGGGAGATTATTGATCTCATTACACAAAGATTGCAGGCGATCGATACGCCTAGCAGCAGCCACTATCCTGCACCCGGCTTTCGCTAGGTCGAGACAGAAGTCTAGGCCTAAACCTGACGACGCGCCAGTGATGAGGACCACTTTGTCCGTCAAGTTGCACCATTGCTCAAGCTGGGCTGGCACAGCGTTAGCCATTTCCTATGCCGAGAGAAATGTTCTTCAACAGGTGAGTGAGCGAGCGAGGTAAGTAAGATGACGAACGAAGTAAACAGTCACTAATTGATGCATTTCGATGATGAAAAAAACACCCACGAAACACAAGAACGAAAACGGAAGGAACATATAAGTTTTTGACGGAAATTTCTCATTCAGGCAATTTATCGAACACTTGGAGCTCGTGGTAATTCCTATTGGGACGGCCATCAAAATCAAAAGCATCGAACTTGGGGCACACCAACAAAGTCCAGACTCAAGCAAATCATGAATATCAATCAAAATTTTGAACTACTCTATCAGCAATGGAACTAAAATTGAATTGCGGGAAGACTGAATCCTGAAAGATGGTAAGCACGAACAGGGGAACCAAAATCGAAACAAAGGGAAAGGAGCAAGCTTGCCTCGTGTTGGACCAGACGCCCTTCCAAGCTTCGATTCTTCTGAGAGAGGATCCACGAGCGGGTGAGGAAGTCGGATGGAAGTGATTATACCGGCGGGAGTAAGGAACCCTACCTGATAGTGCCCACTTCACTTCTGGGAACTTTCCGCTGGTGAGATTGACGACGCAGCGAGCGAGGTAGTTACCACTCTGCCACAGTGGCCACTGCAGGAGTCGACGCTTTGACGGGGAAAGTGGCAGCAGTTGACGCATGAAATTAAATATGATTTTATCAGGACCGGATGAATAATTAATTGCATTTGTATTTCCGAGGAATTTTACAATGCTATATAGCATTGGTGATATAGGTTTTTGCTTTTATGGTACAACTTGAAATTGTACATTTAGCGTTATGGTACAACTTTAAATTGTACCTATACTTTTTGTACAAATTCTTTTATTTTATGGTACAACTTAAACTTGTACCTTATGTTTACTGCGTGATGATTTTATTGAAAAAGATCGAAGCCATGGTATTTATTTAACTCGGCCAATTCCAATAGACTTATTGGAAGGTCCCATTAATGTATAAGTTTAGGTTGTACCACAAAGGAATTTGTATCATTATGTTATGGTACAACTTTAAGTTGTACATTAAAGCACCAATGCTATATAGCATAGTAGAAGTGCTCTTGTAGTCCCTCTACTATATACTTCTAACGAAACCATCCCTGTATATAATATGAAATCGAGCAAGGATTACTAAACCTTATTAGACTGGTATAATCCTAGCTGACTATATTATTATATTTTAACAGTTGTATTGCACTTGTATATTAGCAGTTGATGTATTATTATACAACTAAAATATCATACTGATAATTTACCGGTAGGATCTTGTTTACACCTAAACAATAATCTTGTACCATATTGATTATTTACAGGTATTTAGTGCTTTTATAAGGCCAAATCAATTATAATAATTAATCTTATTTAAACTAGGTATTATGGTACTAAATTTTTAAGCCCAAACGACTAAATTTCTGAGAAGACACTAATTTTGTTGCGAGGGAGCTAAGTCTGGTAGACCATGTTGTTCGCGAGATTTAGACAACCTTCGTCGGGAGATCTAGATCTAGAACCCGTTGGTCGCAAGATTTAGATGACCTTCGCCGCGAGCTCTAGATCTAGTCCAAACAGCCAAGTCTTCGAGAGGGCACTAATTTCCTCGCGAGTCTGCCACGTTGGTCGCGAAGATTTAGATGTCCTTCGTCGTGAGATCTAGATCTAGACCATGTTGGTCGTGAAATCCAAATCCAAGACGTGCCACCGATATGAGGTCATGAGATCTAGAAGGTCTTAGCAGCAAAATCAGACCATGATGGTCGCAAGTGAGCATTGTCGTGTGGAGTTTGGTAGACCTCGTTGGTCGCGAGATTTAGACCTCCTTAGTCGTGATATCTAACAGTCTTGGTCATGGTGGAGAGGAGGCAAGCACCAAGACTTCAGTTCCATAAGAAATAGGCACTTGGAAGGTTACCGGACAACTGTCAATTTTCCTCATTCAAGCACACGTCAGTCATGTCTGAGGAATAAGGGTAGCAATTCTTTTTCAAGTTACTCTCTAGACGGTTTTCTATGACGGTTACTACCTCATGGCTATAAATAGGAGGAGGAGTTGACAGATAAAGGGCCTCCAAATTCACACCAAACAACTTAATGTCAACTTTTATCTTTTTATCTTTCCTCGACAACTTTAACCATAGTCGTAGATTTGGAGCTCTCACTGAACCTCCATAGGAGTAGGGTTAATTCAATGTAAATCTGTCTCGTGAGTCGTGTAAACGTCCAACACCCTCGTTCGAACTTTGTTTGAAGATGTATGAACTGTGTTAATTTAATCAATGTTCAAGAAGTCAAGGTGCAATCAATTCGATTTAAACGCAAGTTTTCTCACCTTAAAACATCGATTTTACAAACCAAACTTTTAAAATAGAAGATGAACTTTTAGTAAATGCAATGTGAATCATTTAGTTCATGCTTAACTAGCATAGAACAATCTCACTAGCAACATAATCTGAATAAAAACTTGGATAAAAAATATAAACATGAAGGGAATGACTCTAGGGCTGTAAATGAGCCAGACCGCTAACAAGCAACTCATCGTTAAGCTTCGGAAAAACTCGGTTGATACTCAATTCGTTTACTAACAAGTCGAGATAGAGCTAAGAACTATTTGGTTCATAAGGTTCGTGAGCAAATTCGACTCGGTGGTTGGTTGAGCCCAACTCATGGACTACTTGTTTTAAGCTATGAGCTGACTCCACCTTATGGGTAGCGACACTCTAATTAGCAATTTGTGAGTGGATCGGTTATTAGCTTATCATTGACTTGTTGATAATTCATATGTTTGGTAGATTATATATCTCACCACATATAATGTTTAAGAATTTGAGAAAATGGTCAAATATGTCTCATTTATAATTGAAAAGAGAAATTTTGTATTATAGGTTGCTCATATACTAATTACTATTAAAGGATAAATGCCACATTTGGTCACTGGGATTAATAAAACGTGTCATGTTTACTCACTCGAAAAAATTAATATCAATTTTGGTCACTCAAATTACTAAAACAGTTCACATTTAGTCACTCTCCGTTAGTCTCCGTCCAACTCTGTTAATGGAGTCTATTATGTGTTGACAAGGCCAACGGAATCGCCTAATTAGCATCATTTTGGACCGGAAATGGTCAAACCCGACCTGCCATATCATATGCCCAAACCAACCCATGAACCAAACACGATCCTATTCTCCATCTCTACCACGCCTCCCCCACTCTCCCTGTTCCATTTCACATCGCCGGCAAAACCACCCCATTCCGTTTCAAACCTGACCCATGATTGATTGGAGAAGTGAAATGGAACCGGACTCGCCTCCCACTTCCCTTAACGTTGGCTTCCCTGCATCGGTGACGTTCTCATCGTTCTCCAGCTTCCTCAACACAGTGGAGGAATCAATTGATTGGAAAGGAACCTCTGAAGCAGACACTCCGCCACCATCACCCGCACGACTGACGGGGTGATAAGCCCATAATAAAGCCTCGTACCAAGATTATTGTTGTAGGGTTTGCACTTAATTGATAGTTCTGGTTAGTAGTGTTAGTGGGTAAGCATGGTTGTTAAGAGTCATGTATTTGTTAGAGTATTTAGGAGTGTTTTGCATAATAGGTGGAGTGGGTTTAGCATCTTATGGTTAGTTGGTTAGCGTAGATAGACGTGGGATTAGCTCCACTTAGATAGGCCTTTTCAATTCCAGTTTTTGTGTATTTAAGTTGAGAACGTAATGGATAATAGGTAAGCAATTTCAGAAAACAAGAAACCCCTGGCCATTCTCGCCAAGAAAGGAGAAGACTGGTTCAATCCCGCCAAGAAAAGGGATCCATTAACTCATACGATTTCAACACGTATCACGGGGCTCTCCCCATCGCCTAACTTATCATCATCGTCATCGTAGTCTCCGGCGTTCTGAATCATGGCAATGGCAGAGGGATGGTTGTGTCTGATTTTGATCGAGATTCTGCAGTATTATCCCCAAATCATAAACGAGAAAAGCCGCAAGAGATCGGAATCTGATGGTGAGAGGGAGGAAGCGAGTCGGGACGCAGTAGAGGCGACGGCGAGCGAGAGATAAAGAAGAGTGAAAAACTTCAAATCTGAAGTCAAGCTTGTTTTGTTTTGTTTTGTTTCTCTATTTGTTACTGGTGGCGCCTGCAGAATTGGGGAGGGCAGGAGTGGGAGTGAAAGGTATCATGTCGAATGAAAAGACGACCCGGAGGGAGAGATCGAGGGAAGACACAATGTCGGGGATGAGAGGTTGGAGGGAAGCCAATAGGTGTAGTTGGGCGGAGCATTGGGTTTGAATGCGGGATTCCAGCTCCGTCCGAAGGGTTTTAATTGTCGACACTAGACTTACTTCGTTTGGGGTGGGATTGGAGTTGGGTTGTTGTGGCCGTCAAATTGGAACTCCATAAATTGATTCCATTGGCTCGCCAGAGATATGAGTTCACGAAGGGGTCAAAGAAGAAGCGGTTAACCTAAAAAACGCACCGAGAAACTCAATTAAGCTGCTATCCAAAAACTGACAAGGAGCTGCAGTTGGCGGTGTCTGTTGGGGGAAAGAGGGTGTGAGGTCAACCGTGCGGTTTTCGGTGACTAACCGATAACCGGGCGGTGACCCGCACTAACCGCAGTTATGCCCTACTGTCCCTAACCACAACCACTCGACATCACTTCCCTTCCTCTCATCGCTCATCCTCGAGTCCCCCGGCGTCCTCCTCCTGCCTTCTTTGAGATCGTTTATTATATAGTATGTTGGTACTGCAGATGGTGATAGATAAGAGGAGCGCGATGGACGATCGAGCACAGGCATCCTCCTCCGCCCATATCGACATTAATCACCCAATTCCCAATTAGGCGTAGAAGGAGAAGAACCTTAAGTCCCAAATTTCGGATGGCAACACCCATCAAATTCGAAGTCAACCGTTCATAGACCAACCGTCTTGGCCTCATGTTCTCGACCTCATCATCGGCCAGCCGTCGTCGTCTAGTCATCCTGTCGGCTCGTCGCATCTCGTCAGTCTTCAAGAGGTCCTGCCACCGCCCCCAGGATGCGAATCGTTCTCATCTTCTCAAATCTTGACCTCGCCATTGCCCAAGCTTCAAATCCTTCTCATCATCTTAATTTACACCCTTCCTTGAAGTTGCTATTATCGTTGGCGCCTGCCAAACTCCCTTGGAACTAGGGGTGGGCATCGGTTCGGTTCTGTCAAAACCGAACCGAAAATATGCATAGTGAATCTTCCATATCCTCTATATTTGAAATCGAACTCAAACCGAAATAGAATTCGATTCGGGATCCCATCCAAACCAGACTTCTATAGAAGAAAGACTACACGTCTCCACCTACCTGTTTTACTTTACTTCATCTTCAATTTTCTTCTAATACTCTCTCCCCCACTCTGTCCCCTCTCTCTTTCTCCCTACCCAATCTCTCTCTCGCCCTCTCTCTCTCTCTCTCTCTCTCTCTCTACCCAACCAGTAAACACAACGGCGATCGGCGAACGAAGCTCAAAGCAGAGCACAACACGGCGGTAGAGATCTCTCCTTCGTCATAGATCTCGACGAACGACGACAGGCGACAACGGCGATTGACGCCGACGATGTTGACAACTTCGATGATGAAGGTTAGAGGTGAGTATGGGTAAGATCTAAGCATGCATGGGCTCTTTTGGTTTGCTTTTCTCCGTCGAGGTTCAGTAGATCTTCTCTGTTTTCGATTTCAGGTGGAGAAGAAATATGTCGCGACGGATAAGAGAGTGCGGTGAGACACCGTGTGAAGAGAGCGCGAATATATCATGGAAGAAGCAGGCCGAGGACGTTGGTGTTTTGCGGTGGTGGCTGCTGGAGTGTAGGTGGTGGCGTGGTGGTTGTGGGATAGGGATAGGGGTGGGAGGCGAGAGTTGAGAGAGCATAAATGGGTTAGGCTTAAGGTTTTGTGGGGACTGGGTTGGGGAGAGTGGGTTGTGGCCAGTGGGAGGAGTGAGCTTTGGGTTGTGTGGGTATAGGCTATGATTTTGTGGTTAGTTTTGTAATTTTGATTTTTCGGTTCGAATGTTCGGAAATCGGGTTCGATTGTGTGACCTTGGTTTCTGAAATATGGTTTTTCTCCTTCTGAACCTAATAACATAAATTTTGGTTTTGGTCGGTTTTGGTTCAATTCAATTTGATTCGAAGAGTCAAACCCAAACCAAATGCCCACCTCTACCTGGAACTACTGTTGTCGGGTATCGGCTAACCGCCCACCGAACTGATGCTAGTGGTTGTGGTTGTCGACTAACCGACAAGCCTTGCGGTGGCAGTAGCGGTTGACGGTATCAACTCCTATTCGATCTCGGCTAACCGACATTGCGATACGGTTAAACCGCAACCACACTGATTATCAGCCTGTGACTATTAAATAGAAAGACCGATTTTGTAGGCCCCAAAAATTTGATGACCGTTAATAACTTACCGGCTACCGCTATTTCGCCCACCACTTATATTCGCCGATAGATATATGCTCCATTAACGAACCCGCCAAGTCGACTTGAAAAAACCGCGGCGCTACCAAATTCGACACTCTGACGGACCTTCCGGCTTCCGTTCCCCGGTTTATATTGAAATCCCCCGCAGAAAATTATGCAGAAGGAGTCGCTACTCTCTGTAGCAGAACATGCACACCCTGCCTGGTTTAACGCCGAAACTGGAATCTACCGGAGCCCACACGCCGCCGTCGCTCTCCCCGCCGACCCTCTCCTCGACCTCGTCTCCTTCATCTTCTCCCATCGCCGTCGCGATGCACCCCACACCTCCTCCTCGGCGGTCGCCCTTCTCGATTCCGCTTCCGGCCACTCAATCACTTACCAAGACCTCTTCCCCCTCGTCAAATCCACGGCCTCCGCTCTCCAGAAATCGGGCATCCGCCACGGCGATGTCGTCTTGCTCGTCCTTCCCAATTCAATTCACTTCCCCGTCGTCTTCCTCGCCGTCCTCTACGCCGGCGCCGTCGTCACCACCATGAACCCTCTCGCGACCGTCGTGGAGATCCAGAAGCGCATTGCCGATTGCGACGTCCGTTTGGGACTCGCTGCACCGGAGAGAGCTGCGGCTCTGCAGGATTCCCCTCTCGGGATTCCGTTCGTCGCAGTCCCGGAATCGAACTCTGGTTCCTCCCTATTGGATGCCTTTGGCGGCTTGATTGGTCGCGACGTTGATTCGGACTTGAGGATTCCGGCAATTCGGCAGCAGGACGCGGCGGCGATTATGTACTCTTCCGGAACCACAGGCGCCAGCAAGGGCGCCGTGCTGACGCACGGAAACCTGATAGCTGCGGTGGAGCTCTTCGTGAGGTTTGAGGCTTCGACGTACGATTTCCCACCTCAGGAGAACGTCTATCTCGCTGTGCTGCCCATGTTCCACATATACGGCCTCGTTCTGTTCGTCGCCGGCCTGCTGTCGTTGGGTTCCACCATCGTCGTGATGAAGAAATTTGATGTGGGTGAAGTAATCAAGACCATTGAGAGGCATGGAGTCACCCATTTCCCCATTGTCCCCCCGATATTGGGTCCCTTGACGGAACGCGCCAAAGGTGTTTGTGAAAATGGCTTAAAGAGCTTGAAGCAGGTTTCCTGTGGTGCAGCTCCTTTAAGTGGCAGCACTGTTCAGCACTTCCTCAATGCCTTCCCTCATGTTGACTTCATTCAGGTAATGCGGAATCAAAAGCTAGCGTAAATGGCAGACTAGCGCCCAAGATTTTGTTCTTTCACTTGCTTCAATAACTGTACTAGTTTGTAGCAAAGTTGATGCCTTTCTGTCTAGCAGGGATATGGTATGACCGAGTCGACTGCAGTAGGAACCCGGGGATTCAACACGAAGAGATTTCAGAAGCACTCTTCAGTAGGACTGCTAGCTCCAAACACAGAAGCCAAAGTTGTGGATTGCAACAATGGCCATGCCTTGCCTCCTGGCGGAATTGGGGAGCTCTGGATGCGAGGACCTGGCACCATGAAAGGTAACCAATCAATCATCAAAACCACTTCAGTGCTAGTTTTCAAAAGTTATAAAACACTTAAAATCCTCCCACAGGATACCTGAACAATCCGGAGACGACTGCTGAGACAATTGACAAAGATGGTTGGCTTCGTACCGGAGACATTGTTTCCTTCGACAAGGATGGCTATCTGTACATCTTTGATCGATTGAAAGAGATGATCAAGTACAACGGGTTCCAGGTAAGTGCAGTTCAAACGACCGGTGTGCCCTTTTGCTTTTCTGCTAACTTGACTTTGATCAAGCATTGAACTTTCAAATTCCAGATAGCACCAGCTGATCTGGAAGCTGTATTGATAACCCACCCGGACATACTCGATGCTGCTGTAACAGGGTAGGTGAACAGTTCAACAGTCTGTGTTTGTAATCCTTTTCTCGTACGGATTTTTCTTTACTTCCACCATCTTTGGCTAACAGGGCGGCAGACAAAGACGCTGGAGAAATACCGGTGGCGTTCGTGGTGAGGAGGCAGGGAAGCAATCTCAATGAAGAGGATGTAATCAAACATGTAGCCGCTCAGGTTTGTTCCTCACCCGCCATTACTGGAAAATGAAATACAGTTGTGAGGAGAAGAAAGCTTGGTTAAGTTGGAGTGTTTACTTTTGTGGGTTGCAGGTGGCGCCGTATAAGAAAGTGAGAAGGGTGGTGTTCACAGAAGGAATACCAAGGTCTCCAGCCGGGAAGATCCTTAGACGGGAACTGAGGAGCTTGATGAAGTTCACTCCCACTCCCAGACTCTAATTAATGTTGTAATCAGTTTCATTGAAACACTTTCTCCGTTAATTGTCTCTTCACCATTTGTCTTCACATTTGTGTACTAGTAATAGCATTTTTGTCAACTGTTACATGTAATTAATGAAATAATTCCAATCTCTTTTAGTCTATACGGTCAGATTCGAAAGGTGAGAGCTGTTATATTTAGTGTCAGTAGAATGAAAACTGGAAATTTGTTGAATTTTACAAAATGCACTCTGCTTAACTTATTGTTCCTTGTCTTTTGCTTAATGTTCATGCTTGACAGCTTGAGTGAAGACAAAAAGCATGAGGGAAGAGGGCAAAGATAGTGAGTGAGAGGATGAATAGAGAACATGTTAAGGAGAAAGAAACGGGCAACTGGTCCCAGGTAGGTTTGTGCTGGAGGAGAAAGCAACCCAACTGCTTACATTGTTTCAAGTTGTCAATGTTGGTTCTAATGAAGGTTAAAGTACAATTTACCAAGTAGATGGTGGCTATATCACTTGATTTGTATTATAAGAAAATGATATGATTTAAGATTTTGTTTTTGCCCTTTTCGACTAGTTCAGATTGTAGTAATTGGCTCCTACCACAAATTCAGTGGTTATAATATGACTAAAATACGAAGAAATTATATAAGAGAAAAATGTTCATAATTTATTCATACAACAAAGTTTATTAATTAAAATATATAAGATGGAAATTTTGAATTCTCCATAAAAACTCATAAATTTTATAAAATTAGAATTTCCATCAAATTCAATAAAAATTTTAATATCTAATTCACTCGTTCTCACTATATTTTCCCTATCGCTATGAAGCCATCATTCTTTTAGGATTAAAACAATATACTATCCAAATCTTTCATTTTAAACAAAACAATAGCTAAACCTTTCGAAAAACCCAATATAATAGCTAAATCGTTAACTTTCGTCCAGTCAAAAGCAAGTTGACTCTAAAGTGATAAATTATGTTGACATGGACTGTGGCGTGGATGTTGCATTTTGACATAAAAATATAGAACCAAAACAATTTAATACTTAATAGTCAAACCTTTTATTTGAGAAAAATAATAGTCAAACCGTTTGAAATACAATTTAATTGCCATTTTCGTCAAATTTAACTTCATAGTTAATGAAATCATACATAAGCCTGTACGAGTGTTTTGATACCTCGGCAAAAAATTAATTAAAATAGTCTTATTTAATTTAGAACAATACAATAATAAGTTTTCAAAAATATTAAACTAGAAAGAAAAGGTAGAAGATCTTCTTTCTTCTAAGACAGATAAACATTTTACTTCCTTTTTGGCCTAGAATCGTTCTCCTTCTCATCTTCCTCCTTTTTGGTATAAAAATACTCTTAATCTTTCTTCAACAACTGCTTATTTCCTGCAAATGGTTATGGTCCCTTTCTCTGCCACCTAATCATCCGGTTGCTGATTCGAAGATTTTTTACTGAAAATGATTATGGTCCCTTTCTCTGCCACCTAAGATGAGATTCTTCATCTGGAAGTGTGCTAAGAAGGCTATCGCCACTAGGGAGAGGTTTTTCTCCAGATCATGTGCTCCTGACCCCATGTGCCCTCTTTATGATGCACCTTCGGTAACAGTGATGCATTGCCTCTTCTTTTGCCACCATGCTTCTGCTACTTGGGGGATCTCTGATTCACTCCATAGCCACCCTCCGGAGAACTCATCCTTTGGTGAGTGGTTCTTTAATCTCCAAGACACCTATTCCAACACTCAGGTCCGCAGGATTGTGTGCTGCTTATGGAGTATTTGGACTGCTCACAACACTTTCGTGTTTGAAGAAAAGGCTCCTACCCCGGCCTCTTCTATGATTGTGTCGAGTTGTGATTTCTTGCTAATAGAGGAAGCTAGGAAGACTCCGTCGAGCTCTCCTTTCTCTCGTACGACACAATCTCACTCCAGCCTAGGGGTCCCCGTTCGAACCCTTTACCACCGCCCCTCCCGTTTTCACGGTTGATGTATTGTGACGGTTCCTTTGTCTCAGATTCATCATTGGCGGCATATGGGATTACTATTGCTAATGCCCATGGTCAAGTGTACGATGACAAGGCTGATTCTTTCCTCTGTTTCCATCCTATTCAAGAGGAAGCCTTTGGTCTCCTCAATGCCATCTTGATTGCAGCGCAAGACACAGAACCTACCCGCATCCGAACAGACTACCAGGTTCTTACTCTTGCTCTTCGTCAAGACCCTTCTCTTTGGCCTTGGCAATGTCGTGCGACGATTGCTCGCATGGTGTCGGTCATCCATTCTGCTCCATGGATCAAGGTCGAGTTCGTTCCTCGGCGTCTGAATTCACTCGCGGATTGGGTTGCTGGCCAAGCTCGACTGAATACATTACCAGTGGACTGGATTGTAATTTGTGATATTATTGCTCCGCTCTTGTAATGTTACTGGCTTCCCTTCTTGGGATTGGAATAAGAGGATTACTTGTTCAAAAAAAAACTGCTTATTTCCTGCAATTGTGAGCTCCGGAAAAAAGCTCCAAGGATTTGCTCCCTTTGGATGGCTTTTTCGGAGTTTGCAATTGAAGGAACTAAGCAGTGGATGTAGAAAGAGGAAGAGTATTCTTGTTATTAAAAAGAAGAAAGTTTTTAGGCGTAGAATAAAGAAAGAGAAAGGTTAATAATCGGAGAAGATAGAAGATGACGAACATTTATCAACCCTTTTTATTCAGTTATTTTAATGTTGTAAATTAAATAAGTTTTTTTTAATTAATTGTGTGTTGAGGTATCAAAACATCTAGACTTGAGTATAATTTTGTTAACTCTGGCGCTAACTTTAACGAAAATGACTATTAAATTGTATTCAAAAGTTTTGGCTATTATTTTGCACAAGACAAAGGGTTGGCTATTAAATTAGTTTGGGTCTATATTTTTGCTGACATGTCAAAATGTAACATCCACGTCAGCGTCCATGTCAGCATAATTTGTCATGTCAGCTGACATTTCAAAATATAACATCCACGCCAGCATCCATGTCAGCATAATTTGTCACGTCAATATCAACTGACATTTAATTGGATGCAAAACTAATGAACTGGTTATTATATTTTTTTTAGAATTTAACTATTATTTTATTTAAAATAAAATATTTGACTATTATATTATAATCCTTCTCTTTATCTAAACATTTGCTTTCTATTTCTTAACTTATAGCGGAATCTCTAAAAAAGTCTGTTGAACTTGAACCTCATTTTAGTATTTTACCCTTTCGGTGAAATCCTTGGTAAAAATCTCTTTATTTTTGAGATTTTATTTTTACACCTCTGCCTCGAGCTCGAGGTCGATAAGTCCGGTAAGAAAAAAGTGGGGAAAAAAAATCCCGCGAAATTGGAAAGCGCTGAACCATTTGGTGCCGAGCGCCATAGTTGGACATAACTAACAGACAAAAGAAGAGAAAGCTAATGAAAAAGGCCGCATCTTCTTCTCCTCCTCCTCCTTCCACCACAACAGCCAAAGCCGTTATCTACTAGTCCATACAAATAGGAAAAAGCCACACCACACACTACATACCTACTGCTTCTTCAACCGATCGATAATAATGTTCACTCCTGCTAACGCTGATGTTCCTTCGCCTTTCACTTTCGCCTCCTTCAAATCTCCCTTTCCCTCCACTCCATGGCTGCCCACCAGTCTCCCTTGTCCGTCACTTCATCCCTATTTCACCACCGAAACAACCCACGACTCTCTTTCTCGATCAACCCGCGATGCTCCTTGAAACGCCCATCGAATTTGGCCGCCTCCCAGGTGGCCATATCCCTTCACAATCGGTCGAATTTTCACAAACACTTGGGCCGCATTCCGCTCCCTCGCCCTGATTCCGCGTTCTTGCAAATGGGTCCTCCTGAAGAACGCTCGAGTCTCCGCACTTCTTTGATCACCTCCGTCGGTTCTGCTTCAGATGGCGGCAGTACAGCATCGCCCACTCTAACTCAAAGCGTATGTATCCTCATTTTTCTTTGCTGTGTGCCAACTGGGTTGTTCTTGTTTTTTCATTGCTTTGGCGGGATTGAGTGAATTTTGCAGGTGGTTGGGGTTCTGCATTTGCTTGTTTCGCTTGGGATAGTTCTGGCCGTTGATAAGTATCTGAAGATGGCGTTCGTGGCTGCTGCTATCAAGTTCCCCAGTGCGTTGTTTGGGATGTTCTGCATATTCTCGGTTCTCGTCATTCTCGATTCTATTGTTCCTGCTGCTGCCTCCGCTGTGGTGAGCTTCTTCGAGCCTGCGCTTCTCTTCATCCAAAGATGGCTTCCGTTGTTCTACGTCCCCTCGCTTGTTGTTCTGCCTCTCTCTGTGAAAGACATCCCAGCTGCTTCTGGTGCCAAGATTTGCCTCATTGTAGGTAATTGGAGCCCTTTTACTTTGCCTGAGTTAGTATGTTCGTTGTTCTTACACTCTCAATATCATCGGTATACGGGGGTAACAGTTGTTTGTTTGTGTCTCTTTCCTATGTTTTCCACAGCGGTTGGGTGGCTGGCTTCTCTCTGTGTTGCGGGATTCACTGCCATTGCTGTGAGGAAAATGGTTAAAACAGAAATGACAGATGCTGAGCCTATGGCCAAGCCCTCTCCTTTCTCTGCAGTGGAGCTATGTGTTTGGATTGGAGTCTTTGTGGCATCATTTGGTGCTGCTGTTCTGTATCCAACTTTGCTGGAAACAAGTGCTAGAACGTGCCTCCCGTTTCTGCTAGCATCGACAGTTCTAGGATACATGATTGGTTCAGGGTAATTTCTCCAATGTCGTCTACAGATGATTGATTATTGGGAGAGAAGAAAAAAAATCTTTTGCTTTTGGAAGCATCGGGATCTGGAATGTGATACTCGCCTTCCATTTGGCCTCTCATGGGTTTTACAGGTTGCCTGCTGGTCTGAAGAAAGTTTTCCATCCGATCATCTGCTGTGCACTATCTGCAGATTTGGCAGCATTTGCTTACGGTTATGTCTCCAAATGTGGACTTGATCCTGTTTTAGGTACGTGTTATTGCAGTCATTGCCTTCAGTTTTCAATTGCTCTGGGTTTTAAGTAGCTGAAATGCCAGTGGAAAAGCGTACAAGAATCAGAGAATGTAACTGGTTGCCCTAGTTTATGAATGCACTTCCTCTGCTGGTTTTGTAAGTTTCTCTGGTTGCATACAGGATATTACCTTACGAAGGCAGCAACTAATCCTGGAGCTGGAGATGTACTGATGGGATTTTTGGGATCTGTTATTCTTTCTTTTGCTTTCTCCATGTTCAAACAGAGGAAGGTAATGAGATTTACTCCTATCATCTCGCAGTCTGGAGTTGTTGGAACGTTTCCTTATTCGCCTTATTAGTTCACAGCATTCGTTCTATGGCTAAACTAGACCCTAAATCGTATGGGCTTATTGTTACAGCTTGTCAAGAGACATGCAGCAGAAATCTTCACCTCTGTCATCATTGCGACCCTGTTCTCATTGTATTCAACAGCTTTTGCTGGGCGTCTTCTCCAACTAGAACCCACTTTGACCATCTCAATTCTTCCTAGATGCATTACTGTGGCATTGGCCCTCAGCATAGTCTCACTGTTTGAAGGTAAGAGTGCACACTTAGCTTCACTGCAGGTTCTGGTTGTAACTGATCCTGAATTGAACAACATATACCTCGTACTATATTTGAGGTCAAACCAGCACTTAAGTTTCTCCCTTCATTGCATGCTTTTGCTGCAGGAGCCAATTCATCTCTAACAGCAGCAGTGGTTGTAGTAACTGGTCTTATTGGAGCAAACTTCGTGCAAGCAGCACTTGATAAACTGCAGTTTCGTGATCCCATCGCTCGAGGAATTGCCACTGCTTCCAGGTGAGTAGGAAAAAACATTCCCAGAGAACATTCTAAGCCAATAGATGCTTTCATATGCTTCCTTTGATGTGACGTCAGTCTGCTGATAAGCATAGCTTCTGTTGCAGTGCTCATGGACTGGGAACAGCAGCATTGTCAGCCAAGGAACCCGAGGCACTCCCCTTCTGTGCTATTGCATATGCTCTCACTGGGATATTTGGTTCCATATTTTGCTCCATTCCCGTGGTGAGGCAAAGCTTGCTCGCAATTGTTGGCTGAAGATATTATTCTCTGAATTTCAATATTGCATATGTACAAATAGAGGGGAGAGAGCAGAGTTATAGGAGCTGGACATAATGGAAAGGCCCTCATTTTTCCTGTATGATCTATCCAATTCATCTATTGCCCTTCTTTTCTTCATTCTATTAAAAAGAATCTCATTGTGTAAAAGACAGATTGAAAGAAAAGAGGAAATGGTTGCCCATTTTTTGATAATCTGCTCTGGGTCAAATTCTTCGAGAATTTGGTCGGGATTCAGGAAGCACAAGGCAGTACTATCGATTACACATTTTTCAAGATCAACAATCTATAACTCATATAGTATGGTAGAAACTAGCAACCATGTCAATAATATTCGTACGAGCATCAGGCGCTTGGCCCGTTCACATAAACTCCATGTTCCATTAATCTCACCACAGGGAACCAAAATGTGCTCATTGGTTCATATTCTTAAGACCTTAGTACTACTATGGAAAATTTCCTATCTTGACTACCAGTTTTCAATAACATGCTGCATCCATTTTTCGGAAGTAGAAGCCAGGAAATTACGGGTTCCTCACTTCAGCCCAGGAAGTTCATGATCACCAAATGAAGCACCAAGTTGCAGAGAATAAAATCGGCAAAAGCACGCTCAGGTGCCACATCCTGTAATTTATTCGAAGGAAGCATGAATTAGTTATCCATAACCACTCATTAACTCGGTTTGATGAAATCTGAGCTCTAGGAAAGAAGTGGCGAACAAAGAGTGCTGTTCTTTCCAATATTACCTTAAACTCCTTGTTGTCCTTGTTCACTTGGATGCGTAGACAAACTGTCGAAAGACCAACAATTTAGCCCTGAGTTCAACCTCGCCATATGGCGAAAGGGAAAGTTATAGTACACTTACCAGCAAGGACTGCAGTGCCTATGCAAGAGAGCACCCCCGATAGGAAAGAATTGAAAGGAAATGATCCCACAACCGCCATGTAAACTACCTGTTTGTCAAAACACAAGTTATAATCAAGCAAATAGAACGTAAATCTCTCAATCCGTCCTGGAAAAGGCAGAAAATTCTGGAATCTCTTGAACAAATAAGGTATAAAACTTATGCAACAGCTGCATCTACCTTAAAATCTAGCAGGTTAGCATACTATTAGAAGTTTAAGCAATCATGACATACATTAGAGGTTAACTAGTTCTATTCGTTCCAGCCTTATAAATTTTATATATTAACAAAAGCCTCGTTAATCAGATCCTAGATGGTAAGAGATGAGAATTATTAGCATCATCTGTTAAAGATCCCAAAAAGTAACTATCCAATCTCAACCTTGACAAATATGGGGAAACACCTCAACATCAAATTCTAGGAAGACTCCCCTTCAAACACAGTTAATACTCCGCAAACTGCGCAAAGAGGGAAAAGAAGAAGCCTAACGTCAGGAATTTTCTAGGAGAGAGGAATTTTCTAAGATGCAGTCAGTCTAATTAACCACGGATAGCAGTACGGAACTTCTGATAGAAGGCTACGATCAATCACAGCCAAACACGATCCCAATAGATTGTGAGAGTAGAAAAGAGTTGTACATTCCACTCTCCACTTCCAATATATGAACCTGAATAACTAAAATGTTGAACCACGGGGAAAAATAACTAATTGGCCCTCTAATCGACCATTCAATCGGATTCGGGTAGACAAAAGTTCGTCATCTCGAAACTGATTTCTACAGAAAGCAAGGAACTTGGATTTCGCCGCTTCGAAACAAAGGAATTGGGAAGTGGAGAATGAGGAAAAAAGTACCTGAATTACGGCGGTGAGAACGGCAAAACCCACATAAAGATCGATGATCTGCAGCGGGAAGATCAACATCAAATCTCAAGAAAAGGTGGGAATGTATAAAGGATCAAGAGATTCATCCACCAAACAAATGAAGACGGCGAAGAGGAGAGAGAGAGAAGAGAACCTTGAGGTTATTCGGAGTCGCGGCGTAAGCAGAGCGAAGGGATTGGAAGAGCGCCTGCGTCTCCTTCACAGTGGAGGATGATCGCCCCATTCTGCCAACTCAATCCACGAAATGAAACGAAGAAAGAAGAAGACTCTAGGAGGATACTCAATCAGATCCAACCAATTCAGCAAATTCTAAGTAGTACCAGCTGCTGAAACACTCGAGGGTTTGAGATCAGGACTCAGAGTTGGCACAAGGGCATAATAGTCATTCCCGATCTCCCTTTCTCTCTCTCTTCCAACTAGTTCCAAGAGATTTTGTACGTCACAAAAATAAATTTAAAAAGAACTTCGATTGAATTTCGTAGTTCCTCTGTGACACTCGCAACCGCCAGTTAGCTCGAGTGGAAGAAACTCTCCCAAAATGGCGTCGACGGCGTCCTGCAATTGCGCGGTAGCTGCGATTCCCGCCATTCCTTCCTCTTCTTCGCTTCCTTATCTGCGGGGAATCAGCAAACTGCGTCTCTCGTCGCTTCCATCTCACAAATTTCCCGCTCGGCTGTGCCGGAACAGTTCTCGTAACCGGTTAGCTCTCACTCACACTCCGCGGTTTTCTTTCCTCGATGGGAATTTTCGTTTAATTCCCGTTTCAAGTTCCTCAGCTAGATCGTGAATGGCATGTGAAGCACCTTAGCAAACGGAATTCGTTTGGAATGGTGAATTCTGATCACGATTTGGAATTTTAATGAGAAACCGCCAGAGACAGGTTAAGCCTTTTTGAGGAAGTTTGAGAAAAAGTTGGAAGGAAAGATAGAACCTGTTCATATGATTGGAATCGTGGAGCTTTCATTTTTCTTGCTCTTTTAGAAATGAAGGTGGAGTGAAATCAAGAAAATGTAAGGGATGAACACCAGGAATCAGCATGTTCACTTATTTGTTATAGGTGCTTCCTTTGCCTGCAGATTTCATGTGAAGTCCAGCTATGCAGGTACAAATGTAAGGGATGGGTTGGAATCAATTGATGTTGTAGCTGATATCAAAACTGAGAAGGTACAAACTTGGTTCTCCTTTTCCCTTTCACCAATATTCTTGATGGTGATCGTATATCTTGTAACCTTATTTTATCTTTAGTAGGTTGTAGTCTTGGGCGGCAGTGGTTTCGTTGGTTCTGCAATCTGCAAGGCTGCTGTTGCAAAGGGTATTGACGTTGTAAGCCTAAGCAGGTCTGAGATCTGTTCTTAGGAAGTGGAATTCATCCATGTTTGCTGTGTTAGTTTGGCTTTCTCAAAAAATTGCTGGTCCATTTTGTAGGCATTGCCTCTCAAAATCATAAGTGACTATGGTTTGTCTTGTCCATCTAGTTTGTTGCTTACTTGCTTTGGTAACAAGAAAGTTGGGTATATCTCAGGTCAGGGCGTCCGACTTTGCCTGGTTCATGGGTGGATCAAGTTACTTGGGTACCAGGCATGTTCCTCTTCTTCCTTTTGCCTTCTCAAGTTATATAGAAGTTGTTAAGGATAATGAAGTATGTCAAGGTTCTCGAACATTTACGTTTTTTATCTTGTTGCAGGAGATGTTTTCTATGCTAACTGGGATGAAGTACTCCCAGGAGCCACTACAGTGATCTCAACTCTTGGAGGGTTCGGGAATGAGGAACAGATGCAAAGGATCAATGGAGAGGCCAATATTGTAGCAGTAAATGCTGCAAAAGACTACGGTAAGTATCTCTTCGGTCAAAGCCAGTAATCATCTCCTTTACCTTTTCTCTCTTAGTTCCCTGCTGTTGCTAGAGCGATATCCCTCTAAAACATGAAAACATGGAAGAGACCATCAAATTAGCTACAAGGCTGGCTTTCTACTGTATTTTATCGATTCTTTTCATCTCTTCATTGAGATGGTAGCATTAAATAGAAGCATGACCCAACAGAAAGGAAGGTTATGATGCATCCATTCATTGATTTCAAGCTCTACTGCTATAGTGCTGATACATTGTGCTTTCTCCATCCAAATGTTTTACTCTCCATCTTCTTTCACTGTATTTAGGAGTCCCCAAGTTCATCTTGATATCAGTCCACGAATACAACCTCCCATCATTTCTCCTCTCATCCGGATACTTCACCGGGAAAAGGAAAGCAGAGTCCGAGGTTCTTTCCAAATATCCAAGCTCAGGTAACCTTCAAGAAAACACGGTAAAACCCTTTGCTTTCACATCGACGAATGTACCCTAATATTGTGTGCTTTCGGTGAGCAGGAGTGGTGCTAAGACCGGGATTCATCTATGGGAAAAGAAGAGTGGATGGACTTGAGGTCCCTTTGGATTTAGTAGGGGAGCCATGGGAAAAGGCTTTGGGAGCTGTTAGCAACTTGATTAGACCCTTGAGTTCTCTTCCGGGATCTGATTTGGTATTGGCATCACCTGTCAGCGTCAATGATGTTGCACTTGCTGTGATCAATGCTATTGGGGATGACGATGTTTTTGGTGTGCTCACGATCGAACAGATCAAGGAAGCTGCTGCTAAAGTCAAAATATGAGTAAATAGAAGCAAACCAAGGATTATGGAACTGAATGACCCATATAAAGTTGCTGGAGGTAGAAAAATGTAAGGTGGATTTTTGTTGAGACTGTACAAAGAATCCAACTTTATCAGTTAATGAAAAGCAGTAGTATTCTCAAAATTTCGTACATAGTTCAATGAGAAATAGCTCAGTACATTCATAAATTGATTCAAGATTGTTTACAAACTTCTCTCGAACTTCTTTTCCTCTAGTAAATTTAATTTTTGCTCCATCGCCATCCAATCACGCCATCACTTGTATTCCTTCTGCTCCAAGTTAACTAGGCCAGCTGGGAGTCTTTAAATGCAAAGTTAACACAGGCAAGTGTTTCAAAATGTACCCCTTGTTGCATAATGCTTGCTATCAAGGAAACAAACAATTGGAACGGAAGAGTGAGCTCATACTTTGCGGTGAAAAAACCAGCAGAGTACCAAGCATTTAAGACGTTGCAGAGATCAGTTCCGGAGGTAGGGCCATGTGCCTTTCCCTGTTTTTCTTCACCTGCGTAAAGGGAAGAGCTGAAAGAGAGGGCGCAAAAGAAAATGGTAGATGGGAAACAGCAAAAAAATTGACAAATTATTATACCATCAGTATTTTCGATTAACAACTAGTTTGAGGTTTGCAAACTCATTTGAAAACACTGAACTACAGATTGAAGAGCAACTCGAACCCTTTACCACTATCAGGTATCATGTGTTAGTGATTCTTTAGATCTTATTTTCTAGGAAAAGGTCATACCTTCGACACCATTATTGTCTGAGGATTTCCCTTTCATAGATAACATCGCTCTTTCAGCAGCTTCCATGGCTGTTTTAACCATGTCACTCTCCCCAAGAGGACAAGACTTTCCACGACAAGTCACCATGGCAGACTCGGTGCCTAACTTACCACCACAGCATGAAACTGCTGGACAATGACTGGCATAAGGGCAGCAAGTGGTACATATGCAGGCAACTGAGGCATAAGTTTGGTTCGCCGCTGGGACTGAATGGTCTTGAAAAGTGGAGCAGTTAGCTAACTGGGAAGCAGAACCAGAAACTTCAGCAGGATCTTGGTAATAGTAGCCTCCTAGTTGTTGAAGCTGTTCAAGAACCTTTTGCTTTTTCTCTTCCAGCTCGTAATACTGGCTTAGTAGCTCGTTATAATCTTCTGTCGCTTGTACATTTGACTGATCACCAACTGCAGGTTCTTTTAGACCATTTGCAGTATCTACGTTTTGTTCATCGCCAAGTTGATACGCAAAATGATTTTCATCCGATGGTGCAATGCATAATCCGTCCTTGAGCTCTGTAGGTTGTGATGCACCTTCCCCAGTTTCATCCACCTCCCTGATTTTGCACCATTAAGCATGTAAGGGGGAAGAGAAGCGGGGGAAATCGAAGCATACTGTAGCAATGGAATTAAAACGCGCAACGTTCCCATCTAAGCTACTCCATTGCAGATTAAATTCTGTCTATTGAAAGTTCTCACAACAAACTAAAGCATCGGAATTTGTGTAGCTTAACACTACCTTGATACTCCATGACCTTCCTCCACAACAGGAGCAGAATCCCCGCTGTGAGGCTGTGAGCTAAAACATCTCCACTATCAGCTGACTTTTCCTGGCCTTCCTTGCCATGATACTTCTGGAAGACAAAAATAAGAACAGATTCACTGGATTTGGGCATTTAAAGGTATTTCATGTAACCAGCACCAAGAACATCTAGCTCGCGCAATTCCTCCATCAAACTTTTTCATATTTTTACTGTCCACACTAGTTGATAAAGAGCTGACAAATTTAAGTTACGACTCTGAAGCAGCATCCATTTCCCCCTATCCATATCATGAATCGCTCATCAACTCTCAGCACTCAATCGACCAATACAACTACACCAAATCAAACCCAAAGAAATGAAGCTCGTCGAAAGGATGAACAAGAAAGAGATGTCAGGAGAAAGATTGAGGGGAGGGGGGAAGAGTGAAGCTTGACCTTGTACTTGGAAATGGCGTCGTCGAAAGCGTTGAGAAGAGCTGAATCGTCCCACAGTTCATCTCCCTTCCCCATTTTCCCCCCTGCGTTGCGTCTTCTTTTGCCAGTCTGCGGTGGTGGCGGCAAACGTCGAGGCTGCACTCTGATCGGAAGTAGGAAGAGCTGTTTGTTAAGTTTCACCTTCGCGCTAAATTATGGACATCTGGCCCGCCCAACTTATCATATTTCTATGGGCTTAAGCCCATTATAAAAATTCTACTCTCTTACTTTTTTTTTTATCTCTATTTTTTATCTAAACTTTTTAAGGTTCGTTTATATAATCCAAATATATTAAAATGATATTAATTAGTCAAATCTTTCCTAATACATAAAAAAAATTAGTCATTTTTTCGTTATCGTTAATGATTTTGTAACTCTTTTCTTAGTTAAAATACTAAAATTTTGCAATGTTGACCTTCATGTGTCTCTTCCAAGTCAATATCATGTTGTAAAGTCAATATTACTAACAAAATTGCTAATTGAAAGTTAAAATTTGGCTAATTCTTAGTATTTCAATAGATTTGGATAATATAAAAGAATCTGAAAAATGTTCGGATAAAAAAATAGACATTGCCCTACTTTTTTTTTAACCAAAGATACATTGTATTATCAAGAAATTACAAATAGAATGTTTACGACTCCAACTGGAGCCAAACGCAAAAATCGAAACGGATTACATCCACGGAAGACAAGACGAGAGTTGAATCGTTCCATAACATTTACGTAATGAATTTGTATTTTATGTAACAGCTGTTACGTAAGGCTGTCGTAACGTCTTGCAGAAGTCTTACGTAATAGACGAATCTTAAAGTAATGAATGGTAACCTCGCGTTACGTAAAGGGCTAAGTAATTACGGAAGCCTTACGGAACGCTTCTGGTTTAACTGGTACGTAAGGAACAATTCTCGCTCCGTAATCTTTACGTAGTGGATGTATGTTTTACGTAACATTTTCAAAAGGCCAATAAGTGATGACTTGCGGTACCGATTACCACTATTTTGGTAATCAACAATCTAAACTGATTTTAGTATATCTTAGCGGCATAGATTCATGCAAAGTTATCTAACTTAAAATTATACCCAAATTACTGTAAGAGGTCCCAATTAACTATAGATGCTTTAACACATATATCCAAATATTTGGCTGGTGGTACCTAATTATAGAACAAGTTGGATCACAAAAGTCGCGATTATTGACTGACTAACCGGTTTAACATATACATATGTGTATGGAAAGCTAAACGAGCAAATATAACGCTATCAAATTATATTTTTGCATGCACCGTTTGATTCTACCATTTTAGTTTGTATGATACTCGTTAAATCGCAATTATACTGCTAAATATCGTTAGACTAACTTGTCTAGTACAACCTCCTATCCAATTTCACAATGACAAACGGTTATAGTAGGTGAAACATACCCAAAATCCAACCACTGCACATTTACACAACTACTACGACATCCTTAGTATTTAGTCTTCCATCTTGGCCCATTTCAACTAAATCACCATTGAGGCATTCATTTGAATGGCCGCCCCAACCTACGAGCTCCAACCTACTCCTGGCTGAGGAGGTTTGCGTAATTGGAGTGTTGAGCTAATTTGGAATGTAAAATTAGTCAAATTTGCCCCACTCCCGTATTTGGTTTTATCTTGACTGGGTCTGGGTGTCGTCAAATTGCTCCTTGAAAATGAAAAGAGAAAGGAGCAAGATTTGGACCCCCGCTGCTAATTTTGACTCCAGAATGTGTTATAGGAGGATAACACAAGTAAAGATGGTATAAGCCACACAAAAGGCCAGCAACCGAAACCGTACCCAAAGTTATATCGGAAAAGTCATGGAATATATTATATTATAAAGTGTTTAATCGTAGTTTAACTGTTCTCTACCACTGTAGTAGGATTTCCTATATTCTATATTTTTTGTCCGACTTACCTATATGGCACAAGGGATGACAATGAGTCGGGTTGGGACGGGTTGCGTCAAAACCAAATCCAAACCCAGGATAAAACCCACTGGATTTGAACTACTCAAATCCAACCCAACCCGCTTGGCATCCGCGGGTTCATGGGCACCCAGGGTTCATGTACAAAGATGCAATTACACTAGTTTTCACTACTATTGTCTACTACATACTAACGGCTAAATTACACGTTTGGTCACTCAAATTATACAAATCTTTCACGTTTGCCACTCGAATTACTTTTCTTTCTTATTCGCCACTAACTTTACGAATGATTTCACGGTTGGTCACCGGCTGTTACACTCCGTTAAGTTTGTCCTACGTGGCAGTCAACTATAAGTTTGACCGTTAACTAGATGACGTGGAAATTAAAAATAATAAAATAATTAAATTTTCTTTCCACCTCATAATTGCACTTATTTTGTCTATATAATTTATCATATTAATAATTTAATAAAATTTAATAAATTACAAAAATGGGCAAATCCAAATGTTCATCATCCTCACCCTCACCATCCACTCCATCGGGTTCAACCCACACGGCCTGCAGATTACCCCTGAACCGCCGCACCAGTTCTGAGAATCTCCATACACGCCGCATTCACCGCAGGAAGATGATTCGACGCAAGGACCTGGCAGAATCGCAGGCAAAGGAAGTACCTGGAAGAGTTGTGAATTCGAATTCGACCCTGCACTGGGCCATCCGGTCCCCAACAAATTGTCGACAAGTTGTTCGACAAAATGCCGCAGAGAAAATTCGAGCCAGAGACGATGGATTCGAAGAAGATTCCTTCGATCCCGTTGACCCCCAGCCCTCCGTCTCCACCCCAACAAACCACCGACCCATTGCTCCGACGAAGAGCACAGCTGTAATTGGCTCTCACCGTTCCTGAATTCGAATCCAAATCTAAATCCCCATCGGCCGCCGCCGTGGTCGAGCAAACCCGATCACCACCAACAGACACGCTCTGTAACAGAACCGAGGTGTTGAAATAGATTCGCTTGACTTGGTTGGGAATGGCAGAATTGTTATCCGGTGAGAATGTATCCTGGCAAAGCAGAGCTTAGCCGCCGGAACGGACCTCGCAGAAAAAATCCTGCCCGTCGGAGATCGAAGAGAAGGAGATGTTTGGTTGAAGCGTTACGATTGGTGGTGGTGGTGGTGGTTGCAGATACCCTCCTCCTCCCTCGCCGCCGCCGGCTCCTGGTGGTCTGAAACAAACGATGCTCTGAGTGGCCTGGTAAGAGACGATGCCGCAGGCGGTGGGGGAGCCGGAGATTGAACGATGGAGTGGATGGTGAGGGTGAGAATGATGAGCATTTGGATTTGTCCATTTTTGTAATTTATTAAATTTTATTAAATTATTAAAATGATAAATTATATAGATAAAATAAGTGCAATTATGAGGTGGAAATAAAATTTTATTTTTTTTATTTTTTTTAATTTCCACGTCATCTAGTTAACGGTCAAACTTTATAGTTGACTGCCACGTAGGACAAACTTAACGGAGTGTAACGGCCGGTGACCAACCGTGAAATCATTCGTAAAGTTAGTGGCGAATAAGAAAGAAAAATAATTCGGGTGGCAAACGTGAAAGATTTGTATAATTTGAGTGACCAAACGTGTAATTTAGCCACATACTAACTCACAAATCATTCATACTAATTGTTCAATATTAAAGATAAACATCCACAAACAATATGATTAATTTAACATGTGAGGAATTAGTTTAGAAATTATAGTTAGTTAATTAGTTAAGGATTTCGTGGATCGTGGGGGTATGGACTTGGGTGCGGGTATTCACAAATTGAATATGACTAAACCCAAACCCAACCCGCAAAAAGTATAGCGAGTTTAAACTCGTACCCAATCCGCAATCCATCAAAACATGTTATATCCGCATTAACTGAATTGGGTCGGATAAGTTACCCGTTTATTCGGGTTTTACACTTTTACTGCCATCCCCTAGGTACAACTGTACAAGCATGAAGCAACAAGCCAAGAAGATGTGGAGAACAACCAAACCAAACAGAAGTGGTTGGTGGGTCCCACCCACTCCAGCTCCAACCTATGCAGCTCAGCCAACGACCATTGTTTTTCATTGTTTTCTAAGCGATTAAGTGAAGGATTAGCCATCCTTGCATTAACAAAGCAAGTTTAATTTTTTGTTAATTTCAACCAGAACCCATTACAACGGGGAAGTAAACTGTAAAAAAGGGATAAACGACGAGCTCCATTTATCGTTTTCACCCTTTTCCCCATCTTCCTCTTCCCCTTGTTTTTATTCATTTGTCTGCGTTTCTTTTTTTCTTCTCTCTTTTCCAAAGAGAGCAAACCAAGCACTGTTCAACTCTTTAGTAAGTAGTAGTGACTAGATTTCATTGTGTCATCCCATCATTCATTCCCCCAAGCGAGAACCGAACCTTCTCTCATTAGTCATTTCTGCTTTCTCCCGGCACGCTGAAACCTCTCAATTCTTCTTGTCCTTCTTCTTCATCACTGTGTTCATCATAGATTTCCTCAAAAATCTGTCCGCCAGCTTGCCTTCTCATCCGACCGTGTTGTCCCTTTCTCACAGGTATCCTTTTATCCATTCCTCTCTCAATTTTCCCCATCTTCTTCTTTCAAAGTTCGAACCTTTACTTTCTTTTTGGGTCTCTTCACAGTGGTCTTTCTTAAACACCGGCTTAAAAAAGCCATCCTTTTCAGCTTCCCTTTCATGGGTTCCTTTTCTGATCCATGCTTTGTCTTTCGTGGCTGTGGTGGTTATGAAATCCAATTAGTCCTGCTTACAGTTCTAGGGTTCCCTTGTTTTTTTTTTTTTGGGTCTGTAGTGTTCATTGCTTTGCTGACCCGTATTGACAGTTTCATCGCTTCGACCCCTTCAAATGGGGATCCCAGGGTTGCAAATTTTGATTATTGACTTTATGGCTTGGTGCTGGTCTGTTGGGAAAAGTCAGATGCTTGGACTGTGACCAAATCAAACAAAAATAGAGTAGGACAGAGATTAAAGAAGAAGGCAATTGGAATTTTGTTTGGCATAGCTCTCTTTACCTTTGGATGCTTCCCTTGTTTTGACAGCTTCTAGGGTGTTATTTCCCATGCGCTGTTGAATTTTTTTGGCTTGAAGAAATTCTGTTGACCCGTCGATGTGCTCTTAAATTTGGGGTTTTATTCCGTTGATCCAGACTGTCTTCCTAATCATCTCTTGACTTTCCCTTGGTTGTTTCACAATTTGTAGGCTGGAGACTGATGTAGAAGGATTCATTTTGTGGATGTTCCTGAGAGATGTTTGATTGATCGATGGTGACTCGTGAGTCTGCCAATCTGGTTGCATCTAGAATTTGGTATTCAAATTCTACCTCTTTATCTGTTGTTGCTATGGTGAGATGAAGAATGCTGTATAGTTGAGTGGGTACCCTGAAAAATCTGAGGTGGGTATCATATTCTGTTCCAAAACTTCGTTTGAGAGAAATGGAGCAAAATGGAGGTGAGAGCTGGAAGGAACTGGTACGGAAAATGCTTCCATCAGGTGCTTCTCTTCCTGAAGACGAGGCTAAGCTTGACTACTCCATAGCTGTAGAGTACCTTGGTCCTCCAATGCCTTATGAGGTCCCTAAGGTTGAACCTCTCGATGTCAGTTCCCATGGAATCCCAACTGCTGAGCCGCTCCAAGTCTCGAATGGATCAGCTGCGAATCTAGGTCCACCTGTGATCAACCCAATACCTTTGCCAGTATCTTACATTGCCCGTGTCACAGACTCCCCCGTCCAAAGTCCACGGGCATCAGCAAGCTCGGAGTCGGTAGTATCGGTTCTCCAAAATCGTGACTCTTCTTCAGCTTCAGCATCAGCTTCACCTGCATCAGCTCGAAACCCTCCAAATCAGATGGTGGCTAATGAAGCAAGGCGAGTGCCAGTTGTCAAGTTCAACACTGTTGATACCTCTAGCCACAGCAAAGGCTCGGATGCTGAGAAGTCAGTTTATCCCGAGTATGTAGTTGGGGTGTCAAAGGAAAAGAAGAAGCAAAAAAAGAGTAGGGTTTGTTATCGTTGTGGAAAAGGGAAATGGGAACTGAAGGAGTCATGCTTTGTTTGTGATGCAAAATATTGTGGCAACTGTGTTCTTAGGGCAATGGGCTCTATGCCCGAGGGACGTAAGTGTGTCACGTGTATAGGTGAGCCAATTGATGAGTCGAAGAGGTTTAAGCTCGGGAGGCATTCCCGTGTCTTATCGAGATTGCTCAGTGCTTTGGAAGTTAAGCATATTATGAAATCAGAAAAGGAATGTTCTTCTAATCAGCTTAGGCCAGAGCAGTTGATTGTGAATGGGTTCCCTTTGAAACCGGAGGAGATGGCGGAATTACTTGGATGTCCTTTACCACCGAAGAAATTGAAGCCTGGTAGATATTGGTATGACAAGGAGTCTGGTCAATGGGGAAAGGTAATGCATTTGTTCTAGTTGGGATTCACCACTTATCAAGATGACCAGGAATTCAAATGGCTATGATTATTCCATTTTACAGGAGGGAGAAAAACCAGATAGAATCATTAGTTCAAACTTAAACTTCACCGGTAAACTCAGCCCTGATGCGAGCAATGGCAACACTGAAGTCTACATTAATGGCAGAGAAATTACTAAGCTGGAGCTCAGGGTGCTTAAAGTAAGTGTTTTCTTTGATTGATAGCTCAGTAGGATAATAGTAACCTACAGCTGGACTGTACAGACTAATCGTGGACTGTCACTCTGTAGTTTTTGAATCTGAGTGTCCTGGTGTAGGATTGATTATTACCAGTGACTATGATACAGGATAATTTTAGTAGAGAAATGTAGAAGGCTTTAGTTTGTCCTTAATGAAAGTATATCTGTTCTCCAGCTGGCAAAGGTGCAATGTCCCCGTGATACTCATTTCTGGGTTTATGATGATGGCCGTTATGAGGAGGAAGGTCAGAATAATATAAGGGGGAACATATGGGAAAAGGTATATTTGCGTGAAACTCAAATTAACAAGATTTAGAAAAGTGAAGTTCTATCACTTGGTCATATATGAATTGTTGTGGGTTGCCTCTTGCTAGATAGGCATCAACCCGGTTTGTCTGCACGCTCTTCTCTTTGCCGGTTCCTCATGGTCAACCCGTTGGTCAGAGAGATGAACCCAGCACTTACACTACACTTCCGAATTATCTTGAGCCGAAAAAAGTCCAGAAGCTTCTTCTCCTCGGACTCCCAGGTTCAGGAACCAGCACGATTTTCAAGCAGGTACAAGTTCCGTGATTTTACTGATGAATGCTTGCTCTGTGCAATTGACTATTCTTGTTCCTTATGAAGTTGAAAGTAGATTATCTCTTTCCGTGATTAGGAAGTACACAAGTCGGTGTACTGTTTGTGAGTTCTTGATATTGTTCCTACGACTAGAGCTGAACATGTTCAAACTTCAAACCCATACTAGTCATGATGTGTCATTTTCTGCAGGCCAAATTTTTGTATGGAAACAGGTTCACTGCAGAAGAGCTTCAAGATATCAAGTTGATGATACAGAGCAATATGTATCGATATCTTAGCATCTTGCTTGATGGACGAGAGCGCTTTGAGGAAGAGGCACTCGCAGAGATGGAGACCGAAGATCGAGACTCTGAAGCTGGTAGGACTTATTTATAGCTAGTAAAGCACAAGTAAAGAGCTGGTTCCTATTAGTTATTTACATTTCAACTATTCTTTCAGGTGGAGAAGCCGACTCGGTTGAAACCAACAATCAGTGCATCTACTCTATCAACCCAAGGTTGAAGCATTTTTCTGACTGGCTGCTCGACATTATAGCCACTGGAGATTTGGATGCATTCTTCCCTGCGGCCACTCGTGAGTATGCCCCGCTGGTTGAAGAGGTTTGGAAAGATCCTGCTATCCAGGAGACATATAAGCGAAAAGACGAGCTTCACTTCCTCTCAGATGTTGCAGAGTACTTCTTAAGCCGGGTTTGAACCTTTCTCTTTGCTTCTGCAGCAAAGTAACCACAGTATGCGATGGTCTGTGATTACTGACAAACTAACCATACAATGTTTGATTTTTCAGGCGGTCGAGGTCTCCAGCAATGAATACGAACCGACTGAGCGAGATATCCTTTATGCAGAAGGTGTCACCCAAGGAAATGGTCTAGCTTTCATTGAATTTTCACTCGATGATCGGAGTCCAATGTCCGAAGTCTACACTGATAATCTTGAATCTCTTCCTCTCACCAGGTGATCATCTTCTTCTCGTGATGTCCCTTTTCACTTTAATCTTCTCAGTAATCTCATCAGTTTCACATGGCATCCTAATGTCTTAGGTACCAACTCATAAGGGTCAATGCCAAGGGTATGAACGAAGGATGCAAATGGGTTGAAATGTTTGAAGACGTGCGAGCTGTAGTGTTCTGTGTCTCCCTCAGTGACTACGACCAGGTGAGCTTATCACCATCCGAGGGCAGCGGATTGCTGCTCCAAAACAAGATGATGCAAACCAAGGAACTCTTCGAGTCAATGGTCCGCCACCCTAGCTTCAAAGACACCCCATTCGTGCTTGTGCTGAACAAGTACGACCTATTCGAGGAGAAGGCGAACAAGGTCCACCTCAGCACGTGTGAGTGGTTCTCAGACTTCAGCCCAGTGAGACCCAACCACAACCAACAGTCCCTGGCCCAGCAGGCGTACTACTATGTAGCAATGAAGTTCAAGGACCTCTACGCGTCAATTACAGGGCGGAAGCTGTTCGTGTGGCAGGCCAGGGCGAGGGATCGGGTGACTGTAGACGAGGGCTTCAAGTACGTGAGGGAGGTGCTGAAGTGGGATGATGAGAAGGAGGATAATTACTTTGGTGGGCCTGAGGATTCGTTTTATAGTACGGATGTTAGTTCATCTCCATTTGTGAGGCAAGAGTGATACAGGGTGGTTTTGGTAACTGTTATGCCTTGCTAGTTTAGGGGAAAAGAGGTTAGGAAGAAAGGTAAAGGAAGGGAGAAGGTATTGGTAGTGGTTAATAAGGCTAACTGCTTAAAGTGTAATTGATGTCATTGTTGTTCCTGTTGTAATCCCAATCTCAAATGCTTGTGTCTTTGAATTGTAGCACATTAGGTCATAAAAGAAATAACCAGGGCCTGCATATTATCTGATCTGGTTCAGAAGCAAATAAGGAAAGACCATTTGAGGGCCATAATCAGAACAAATTAAGGACAAAATCGAATTATAAAGTGTTCCATGTGGTCTAAGATGGTGGTATCATTTTTTTTTTTTTTTTTGCGTACAGGGAGGCATCACGCCAAAGAAAGGAAGGGAAGAGGAGGGTTACAGATGAGGAGAACCGGGAGAAGGGGTAATGAGTCTAGCAACAGTGATGCCTTCAGCATCCTCCTGGAGCAGCTGGCGAAGCTCATTCAGGGGTGTCTCCAATTCATGTGTACCGTAGGGATAGACGAGACTGTGCTTCGAGAGCCAGTCCGCGACTCTATTCCCTTCCCGGTATACATGAACTAGGTTCACAATCCAGTCCTGAGCGATCAAACGTTTGATGGCCATTAAGAGCGCTGCATAGGGGTGTAAAGGGTCTAACCTCTCTTTCACAAGTTGGATCGCTAGTTGAGAGTCGGATTCAACGATGAGGGTCCTGCAATCGTGTCTCCAAGCCAACTTGAGACCATGAAAAATGGCCCATAGCTCGGCACAGATGGTTGAACAAGAGCCCACGCCAGCAACAAATCCACTGATCCAGCTACCGTCGACGCCTCTCAAAACTCCACCTGCACCTGCTACTCCGGAATTAGCACTCGCCGCTCCGTCCACATTCAGTTTCGTCCAGCCAACTGGAGGTGGCTTCCAACCGACCTGTACCTCAATGCGATTACGTGGGGAATTCATCCGCCCCATCAGAGGGCTCGGCGCATTCCAAGCCTTCCACCACAGCTCGGCCCGGATCTTCACAGCCTGCAAAAGAGAGGGGGCAGACAGGGTCTTGTTCACTCCATGAAAAACACCATCATTCCGGTTCATCCACATGCTCCAAAGGGCAATGCTAAAAAACACATTCCAGGGGAGGCCTAGGAGGGAGGACTCCTCGCAGTTGATATTGGTTTCAAACCAGCTGTTCCAGTTGCGGCTGAAGAAACTCTGAAGCTTATCCTGATGGAAGGTACGGCTCCAGAGATAGGCTGCCGGGGGACAGTCCCTAAAAAGATGCAGCGGCGTCTCCGTAAGAGTGGGCATCTGAAACAGGAGGAGTCGTGCACTAAATGTCTCCTAGCTCTTTCCTCGTTCGAGCTTATTCTCCCTTGCGCCACCAACCAAATGAAGCAACGCACCCGTTCTGGCACAGTAAGGCTCCAGATCCTCTTCCACAGCTGCTGGTTGTCGTCGTTGATAGAGTCTTGAAGCAGCTGGTAGGCACTCTTGGTAGAGAATCTTCCGTTTGATGTTGGTTGCCACAACAGAGTGTCTTCTTCCGTTGAGAGAGGGTCCACCACCCGCGCTGTGATTTGCCTCACTATGTCTGAGGGGAGTATGTGATCGAATCTCTCCGTCTTCCAGTTCCCGTCCTCGTCCACGAAATCCTTAACCCGAAGCTCTCGATCATCCTCCGGAATCTGATCCGCAGCCAGTTCCTGAAGAGGTACCTGCGTTAACCAGACATCAGACCAGAAATTAGTGCTATTACCTCTATGAATATTCCATGCACAACCTTTCCTAAGCAGATTCCCAGCTTTAGCTAGGCTAGACCAGGTAAAGGAACTTCCCTGAACAGGCCTCAGAAGGTTGAGATGAGTTTGGTCTTTCCCATATTTCGATCGAACCAACTGAGTCCAAAGGGTCTCTTTCTCTTTGATTACTCGCCATCCGCCTTTAGCCAGCATGGCTAAGTTCACTTCTCTAGTCGATCTAATACCCAGACCTCCATTCTGTTTTGGAGCCAACAGCCGTTGCCAGGGAACCAGGTGCAGTTTCTTCTTCTCCTCAGTGTCCCCCCAGATGAAGCTCCTATTAATCCGATCTAAAGACCTGCAAACATTCATCGGAAGCATTTCTGTTTGCATAGGGTAAATCGGGATAGAGGCCGAGATAGACTTAACCACAGTTATCCGAGCAGCGAGAGAAAGGTGTCTGGTCTTCCAGGGAGCAAGCTTCCGTTAGATCCGCAACATCAAGTCCTGGTATCTGGTTCTAGTGACCCGGCCATGAATCGCCATAACCCCAAGATAGCGCCCGAGATCTACCGTGAGCGGGATGCCTGCCCGACGCGACAGCCCTCTCGCTTTCCGCCTGTCGATGTTAGCCGAGACAAAGATTGCCGACTTCTCATAGTTAACTCTCTGACCGGAGCTATGGCAAAATTCATCTAAGCACCGCTTTATTATCCGCACCTGACTTCCCTCCGCTTCTGCAAAAAGAACAAGATCATCTGCAAAGAACAGGTGAGAAATCAAAGCCCCCCCCCCCCCCCCCCCCCCTGGAAAGTCTCAGAGGTTTCCAGAGTTTATCCTGTATAGCTTGATCGATCCTGTGAGAGAGTCTTTCCATACATAACACGAAAAGATAGGGGGGAAAGAGGGTCCCCCTGGCGGACTCCTCTGGTGGGAGTGATAGGCTCTGAGAGTTCTCCGTTCCAAAGCAGCCGCATTTTATTGTTCTCAACACAAAACATGATGCAATTGATCCACGAACTAGGCAGACCCACTTCCTTCAAGGTATCCCTGAGAAAATCCCATCTCAATCTGTCATAGGCTTTCTCAAGGTCAATCTTGAGCACGATGCCCCCTTTCTTGCCTTTCTTTTTTCTAAGGGAGTGAAGGGTTTCCTGCAAAACGATAATGTTGTCAGTAGTCTGTCTCCCAGGGATGAAGCTGCTCTGCCGTGGCGAAATAATCTTCCTCATGATCGGCTTCAGGCGATTGGTGATGGCCTTCGTGATCGCTTTCAGGCAGACGTTGTTAAGAGAGAACGGGCGGAGCTGAGAAACTCTCTCCGGGTGTTCCACCTTGGGGATGAGAACAACCGTCGACTCTACCACATTCTCTGGCAGAATTCCTGTAGAAAAGAAGCTGACGGTTGGTGGTATCATTTAAACAAACGGTCTTTAACCTACCACTCCTTGCATTAATTATTCGTTTCCTATCAAACCTAGGACATTATTCGGGTAAATTGCAAGATTGGTCATTACAAGTACTAAAAAATTCACGTTTGGTCATTAAAAGTGTTTTATTCCATTTATGGTCACTGAAAGTGGTTAAATGTTTCACGTTTGGTCACTCTCCGTAAGTCTCCGTTAACACTGTTAGTTTTTTTGCTGACATGGCTAACAAAAACGCCAATTCATCAAATTTTAACCGGCCACGTCAGACCCTATCATAACCCAACCTAACTCAACCCCTAACCCAAGCTGAATCGACCATACCCCACCCACCTTCCCACCACCGTCGCCGCTTACTATCCTCATCTGCAACCACAGCACCGTCGCAGCCTTGACGCTCTACTCTCCTCCTCCTTTGTGACCTCCACAACTCTCTTCAATCCCTCCCGTTGACTCCCTAGAAACCTCGATTGCGGCTCTTCATCCAAATCTTCCCGCAAGCGATTGACGACCAAAGATAGCAAGAAGATCTAGATCTACAATTAAAACTTGGACGAGGTTTTCTGCTGTGAACCAGATCGATGTCGACTGTTCCGACTGTGATAATCGAACAAGATAGATCTGCTGCCCCAGTTTGAGATCTTCCTTGTCGCGGCTCTGCTCTCGCCTCTCGCTGCCCTCTAATCTTCTGACCACCTCTAATCAACCGAACATCTGTTGTCTCGGTTCGATTCCCATCGTCATCTCGCCTTCTCATCTCTAGCAATTCAAGGAGAGGTGAGGCAGAATCTTAATCAGGTCTTCCTCTCCGATTGGAAAGTCACCGACGAGTCGGCCGGAATAGAGAGGGAGGAGGCACGCAGTGAGAGAAAAGGAGCATCATCGGTGAGGAAGTTACAGTTGGAAGGAGGGAGATCGGGAGTCGGTGTCCTCCCTGAACTCTCATTTATCATCAGCGTTCTCCTCTGTATTGTCCTTCTTTCGATCAGAAACCCCAAAGAAGCAAAGTGGGAGAAAGGCGACAATTCGTAGAGGGAGGAGAAATAAAGGTGAAGAAGAGAGGCTCGAATCGGTGGGGGTTAAATTAGGTTGGGTTGAGTTATTTACTGGGTCTGATTTGGCGGGTTATATGACGTGGCGCGTCAAAATTTGGTGAATCAGCGTTTCTGTTAGCCACGTCAGCAAAAAGCTGACAGTGTTAATGGAGACTAAGGGAGAGTGACCAAACATGAAACGTTTAACCACTTTAAGTGACCACGAATGGAATAAAACACTTTTAGTGACCAAACGTGAATTTTTTAGCACTTTGAGTGACCAACCTTGCAATTTACCTGACATTATTCGTACCAAAAGGGTCTTTGAATCTTCCAGTTTCAGCCATTCTCAAGTATCAACCTAAACTAAACCCCGTATTGCACAGTATGGCAAGTTGGCAACTCAGTTCTCATTCCAACAGTAGTATACATTTCGTTACAACAAATCGGGAGATACCCCCTACTGGATGCTCATTGTAGAAACACCTGATGTGATCTCCCGGCTTCTCGGATCACCACCTTCTAGACGAACGCCATACGGGTCTTCTCGTACTAACAATGCTAGAACATTAAGCGAGCTCCAAGTTGCTGCGAGATTGCTGCTGCTAGAGCTCCCCAACGTCACAGCGAATACTGCATCAAACCCACCTGCACCCGGGACCCCAGCCAGCAAAACTCCTTCCATATTCATCGTAACATCCAATAGTTTGGTCTGGGATTCTGGCTCTATCTGCAAAATCACAGGCCAGGAAGCTGTCAAGCATAGACTTGAAGGAGAAAATAAAGGTAGATTGCAGTTTCAACCTGACCCGGTTGACCATTTTCCTGATGAGCTTATGAATTGGACCATTGTCGTCATTTCTGGAATAATGCGATGGAAAGGAAAAGACAGTAAACAGAATTAGCTTACTGGAACACCCGCAGCTTCTCCCATCTGGCGCATATGCTTTCTGATCTCGAGCATTGCCTCTCTTGCCCCCAGTAATGCTTTAGCAACAGCTTCTTCGTTGGGGTCAGCAGCTTGCTTTAACCACTGTAATACAAGATTCATGTCATGCTTAAACAACTAATGATAGACAATCCTATGCATAACCTTTTATGGCTCTCTAAGTGAAATGTAAAAGCAAGGTGCTGGGATACCTTCTCATTCTTTGTTGTGCTGCAGCTGTCTATCACGGACTTATATGCAATCCAATGCTCTTGTGCAAGTTGGCTTAAAGCTTTAAGTTGTGTTTCCAGCACTGAATTTGCTGCTGATAATATCCTCCATGTTTCTTGAGACTTCTGTGGATCAGCTTTCTGCCACTTTCTTACTGCACCTACCATCGATGGGGTGGATGATCCTCCAACTCCTGGTTCCCCAAGTAGCTTCACAAAAGAATCACGATGATCATTTTAAAGGTCAATACAATGAACATTTACTGTGCCACCAAATTCTTAAGCATTCAGGCTGAACTACTTAAACTCATGACACCCTAAAGATTGCCATGAATGCAAGAATCGACAGGTAGAGCCAACGATGTGGATTGCGTCAATTATGGGCATTCTGGAAGAGATTTTCCTATTTCATCGATAAAGCATTGGTATCATCAGATTTGTATGATAGGCCGATCATGTTGTCTGAAAATACAGTTCACATGTGCATTCGCAATATACAACTAGCACCAAAATGGTATGTCTGAAAATACAGTTCACACGAGCATGCACAAAATACGAATAGCACAAGAATGATGTATGTATGAAATACTTTACCAAGGTCATCAATGGAGGCAAAGAGAACTTAGTCCTCTCGTGATCCCAATTTCCTCTCAGAATATCAACTATGACTTCCTGTAATGGCAAACCTCTCGCTGCATCCTAGAAGACAGATGTAAAAGTAAGGTGGACAATCTCATTGAAAATCAAGGATACCACTGTAAGATATAGACAATTCACATTCATCCTGTTCGGCATTCTCCCTTGACTTTTACACAAATTTGAATTTTTTAATTATCATGGAATTTTCTCCCCGAGCTGCGGAACTAACAACTCTATTAGAAAGTAGAATTACCAGCTTTTACACAAATTTGAAAGTGGATGAGATCGGTCGAGTGGTCTCAGTTGGAGATGGGATTGCACGTGTTTATGGATTGAACGAGATTCGAGCTGGGGAAATGGTGGAATTTGCCAGCGGTGTGAAAGGAATAGCGTTGAATCTTGAGAATGAGAATGTATGTGTGTATGTGTGTGTGAGAGAGAGAGAGAGAGAGAGAGAGAGAGATAAACCTGAGCAGATGAAAGCACAGAGGAGGAGAAACGGACATATCGCTGGCTACCATAAACTGCAGAACTGACATCGAACCCACTGCCAACTTTGCCTTGGGCAATACAATGAGCACTTTGAGCTATAATATGAACCAGATCAAGATCTTTAGTTTCCTTATCGTTGGAGGAAGAAAGGTCCACTAGTCCTAAGTACTTGAGCAGAGCAGCAACCACAGCAGTGGTCATTGCTGCAGATGAGCCCAGCCCGGTCTTTGCAACTTCAGGCTTACACTGTTGACCACTTGCATCATCCTCGGCATTAAAAGTGATTGACTTGAAAGGAGCGAGTGCAGCCAGTGACTCTGGCGTCAAAGGGAGACCACGTGCTTCTATCTGAAATCCAAGCAATCAGGTCATTCGATAAAGTCTTCAAAGCAGAAAGAGATGAAAAAATCAGGAGGAAAGTTGCTACGCTCAGAAAGGGGAAAAGATTCTTTCAAAGGCTATGCATAGAAATGAAACAAAACTACACCAACCAAGAGAATGGAACATATACCTGACTTCTGTATGAATAAAAGTCATTACAACCCAAAATTGTGATGTCAAGACCTACAAAGAGCAATGAGATTCAATACTTTGGGTTCTTGATATCCAGTCTCCCGCGGTTTTCGCAAGAGAAGAAAATCAAACAGAGGACATCAGGAGGATTCTCAAGCATCATACCTTGCAAGAGTAGCTTGTTTAAGGCCTCCTTCTTACTTCTATCAAAGGTAGCATTTGCAGCAGCGACAGCATATTCCAGCGCATGTTCAACAAATGGGTTTCCTGAATCACTACAATTGGAAGTAGCAGTAACAGCAGAATCCATTAAATCCAAAAGTTCATCTCCATATTCCCCTTCTTTCCAAGATAACCTTGAAGCACTAAGGAAATCCAGGAAAAAAGACTTGCCTGGAGGAGACACGCTGAAGATTCAGATTCTTAAGAGACAACTTGTACATGCTCTCTCTGTTGAGCTGGGGAGAAGTCAACTTGACATCAGACCAAGCCTGGCAACAGCAACAACAACAGAAACGATCCTAATGAACATTTACAGAGATCACAAGTCGCTGGAATTGGAATCTAGGAATCAATCTAGTTTACGGCAAGCAGTTCAGTCCTCAACGCATCAAATTACATCGTCGCCAATCGAATTCGGTTCAGGAACTCAAAAATTCAAATAAAGATAGACAAACAGCATCGAAGCGGGAACTCACCCAAGCCCAGCTCTCAGGACTGAGCTGATCGAAGAGAGGTTTAACAATGGCGTAGAATCTAGCGTTGGTACTCAGCACGATCCCAGCATTGGGCCTCTCCAGTATCAAATAGCCGCCAGTCAGCAACACTTTCCCGGGAGCAGAAGCAACTCTGTATCACCATGGCACAGCACCGAATCGTATCGGAAGCGATCGCAATAGTCACTTGAGTGGAGAATGAAAAGAAGCAAAACGTTAAGAACAAAGGGAACGGAACTCACACGGCCATCGTTTTCAGCCTAATCTGAAATTCCACCGGAGTTACCGGTGTCAGCCTTCAATTCGCTTCGAAGGAAGATAGGAAACAGTTGATCGGAGCAGAAGAGGAATGAAACAGTTGCAAATGACGAGGAGTGTTGCGCACCTTTAGCAGCGCCTTCTTTTGATTTATAACAATTGTAGTTAGTTGGACAGAGCTAATACTACTGTCTGCCTCACCGCTAGAAATTTTGGCAAGTAGTCAAGCTACGCCAGCTCTACTTACAGAACTAAACCAACTTCAGTATTCAAATGAGGAACTAAGATTAATCTAGATCTTGAATTCATGATGCACCAGCCTTTGATTATACATTGATTCTTCCTATTTAACCACGCAATTCTCATTTTGAAATTCACCCTCTATTTCCCTATATAATATAATTCAAACAACGGGGCATCCCGCGAGAATGAGTCATGTTCCACGATCATGTTTCTGCCAATTTGTACAGGTTAAATCACAACCGACACAATCTTCAGTATCATCAATGTCATAGATCGAAACTTGTCGTCCTAAAGACTATTGCAAGGATACATCTCGTAAACATCCTTCAAATTTGATCAATGTTGCTAATTCAGGATTTAGAAGCTCACGTTTTGGAGCGTAACAGATCTTTCTCAACGGAGAATACATGAGCAACAACACTAGCCAGCAATACAGTTCTACTTCTACAGAACAACCAATTATACTTTGCCTAGCTAAATGCAGAGCATTGTGCTCCCTCATAACGCTTCAGAGAAGGCGCGTCTTACCAGAACATGCAAACGCCATAATCTCACAGACGAAAGGTGGTGAACGTAAAGACTTAAAGATTAAAGCAGTAGCCTTCAACTGTTTCAGAAATGAAATGTAATGCAATGCTAATTTGGGTAACAAACACCTCTGCGGAAGACAATGCCATCAGTTCTAATGTCCTCTGGTCTTCCCACCACACAAGTGAAGCCGCTAATAAACATAAGCTCAAGTTCAAAAGGCCACACGCAGAGAGGTGATCGCGACCCCGTTTTCAAGAAACTGAGGTGCAAGAGGATTGTCCAAAAAAAAAAAAGGAAACAGTACAAAGTTGCCTTGTCTGTCTGTTCAAGCAAAGCAACCTACCACTAGTCTCTCCCTTTCCTCCGCACACTATCAAGTACGTACAAATGGGACAGAAATGCAAATCAAACAGACCCCCACCAGAAGAGAAAACAGCCCACCCTAAGGATTTATGAAGCTACCAGATCAGGCGTTTCAGCTTCGATGGACAACAATGCTGTGTGCACTTTACCCAACCAGCCATCCAGACGATCTCGCAATGACGTGATTTGTGGAATCCCAAGAACACGCGGTTGCACCCATGACACATACACTGTCCCTTCCACTTGGTCAATTATACCCTCAATCAGATGAACCTGCAAATTATGAAACCCAGGTTCAAAATACTTACATGGAAATGACCTAACTAATCCAGTGTCCTGAATTTTCCCAACCTATGACACAACTCCTTTAAGTTAAACAGGCATACACATGTAGAAACCAATTAAACAATTGTGTTCGGATAACAACCAAAACATATAGATATGTAAAATATCTAGTCCTCTATGTTTGGATTTCATAGAAGAGAACAGGAAAAACTTACAGAGAGACTCTTCATCAGGAGATGTTCCACCTCTTCAATTGAGAGGTTTGTACGCTCCGCAATGACCTTCATTGGAATGGTCCGATCTTCAGATGGGCGACTGCAAATATGACATAGTCAATAGCAATCGGGAAAAGTAGCTAAGTAGGTTCAAAATTACCCGACAAGTAAAGACAGCCCAAGTGAAAGTAAGAGCATATACCTAAAGATGATTTCCATAAGGCACAGAATGTTTATCTTTTCCAGGAGCTTGTTCTTGTTTTCAACTAACGCTGGTTGAGATCTCAGTGCAGACTCATGCACATGCCATAGCTCTTGATACCGAACTAAATCACCAGCATTAAATGCTTGGAGAATATAATACAACCACTCCACTTGTGTTCCTAGCAGACTCTTTATCTGCAGCAATATTCAGGATATATCATCATAAAAGCCAATAACAGAGAGAAGGGGGAAAAACAAGAGCCACGCACAGCAAATGGTAATATCAAGAACAACTGCCACCTACTATTGAACAATCGCATGTTTATTCTATTTTAGTCAAAAGGACATACCGATATGCAATGTTCAACATGGATTTTATTTCTCTTGGGACTACTATCATTCAAATGAAAAAGAAACCATATCACAGCCTCCAAAGTCGTGGCACGATAGCATTCATTAGTTATTCTAACTTTCAGAAACAAACAAAGCATTAAAACTCTTACAATAGGATGTGCAAGCAGCTCTCCAAAGTTGTAGATGTTATCTCCCAGAAGCGCTGAAAGAGACAGATCAAATGCCAAATCCTACAAGCGAGGGTGGGAGAGATAGTCAGCACTTATATCAAACATTCCAGTTAGCTATAAAATGGTTGACGAAATTGAAACAGAAATCAATAATTCTCATGAAAGAAATAAACAAAAAAAGTAACTGAATAGCCACTGAATTAATCTAGTTCCTGAGCTTGAAATAACCAACAATTAGAAACAATATATCAAGAAACCTTTAAACATACGAAGGTTATCCTGGTTGGCTACAGCTGAACATGTTTATGTTACTCACAAAAGCAGAAGAGGGGACTAATAGTCATCAAAATCAAAACTAAGTCGAGGATGATATATTAAATTTCTTCCTTGAAAGAAGTAGAGCTGTAACATGGTCTCCACCTCAACTGACTTGATATGCCATGCTTTCTTCCCAAATTAAAGACAGTTAAAACTTCCTTGTAGATGCTTCACAAATAAATTGATGATTCATACGAAGAGGCAGTTCTCAGTTAAAAGTATAAAAAAACTACCCAGTGCAAGCTTTTTTACCTACAAGACTGAATTTGATAACAGCAGCTCCAAAGCAACAAACCACTCAGTTTATGCTAGCTTAACCATACACAATCAGCTAATGTCAAAGAATGTTAATTAAAGACCTGTTTCAGGACTATAAAAAAAAATTGAGTGCTTACGAGCACTAATCCACACTTATGTTTGAAACTACTAAGTTACACCTTATTAGAGTCACATTAATTAGAGTCCACAAGGTTGAAGAAATAGCTTAGCAACTCACACTAAGGTACAGACATGAGCACAATTATCTAAGTAGCATTCAGCAATACATATTGGTCCATATGAGCTAACTTTCAGGAGATGCAATGAACACTAGGACTCTTCTTCATAGACAGAAGGTTTCAGTTGGTCAAACCACATTATGAGATGCAATTAGGAGTCAGTTAAACAAGAAGATTGGAAATACAAAACTTAAAACACTATTTCTACTTCAGAGTTAGCGCCATATCCAGTGTATCACATTTCTCAAGCCTCAATATCAAAGAACATTCAAAGATTTTGGTTAAGGATCTATTAAAATCAAGTGATTCTATCCCACCGATAAGCTAAGTTAAAGAGAACATACCAGCTTGAATGAATCGGAGAGGGACTCCACTGATGTGTATGCCAAATACAGAAGTGCGCTTCTGTAGAAATCAGCAAAGTCTTGGCGGTACTTATGGAACTGTGACGAAACCCAGTAATAACTGGCATACACTGAGGGATCAATGTCGGTCATGCTGTCCAGTGTACTCTTCCCGTCTTCTAGAAGCTTCTTGCACTCCTTTTGATCACCTTGCTCAAGCTTAAATATGGCTACCTGCATCTTAATATAAAGTATCGGCTCCTCTATACGTGACTCCCTAGTCGCCTGGAGCTTTTCAATCACGCCATCAAGATACCCAATGGCAGCCTCTTTCTCTTGATACTGACGAGAAACAACGACTGCAAAGTGGGCAAGCTTAAGGAGATTGATCTTTGTCTCAAAATCCGTGATGAAGTTGTGATATAGCTGTATGAGAGCATCGCCAGCCTGCCATTTTGAAGAAACGAAAATGCATCAATTTAAGGGGAAACGAATCCGAAGCTAAATCACTATCAAAGATACATTATCCCAAGGGACATGAAACCTAATTCCCTAAAGTTCAGGGACCAATTCGACTTGAGTAGACTTCAACCTCAGAACACTATCCTCAATTAAGAAGCACTGAAACAGACAGCGCCACATTCAACTCATCGAACATCGAACACAAAAAGCTCACTAGTCCACTCGAGCAGAGAATGAAGAACCCTATACAAACCACCACCACCACCCACCCCAAAAAAAATTGGCAGCAAGCAAATACGGCAACAATTCCTCCATGAAGATCTGCAAACCCTAACCGACATACAGCAACTTCCGAACGCCGGATTGAAGGGGGAAAATGCAGAGGAACAGTCATAGAGACATAGCAACACAGAATTCAATCAGGGAAAGGGGGGGTATTGGAATGAACGGCGGCGTGAATCAAACCTGGAAGACGGCGAGAGCAACGAATTGCTCGAGCTTGAGAGTAAGCTGGTGCCATAGCTTCTTCTGGTACAGATCCGCCAGAGAGGTGTACCACTCCGCAAGCTCAGGTTGGGCGTTGCGCTGAGACTCAAGGTACTGTAGAGCACTCATTGCGATGGCCTGGTGCTTTCGGGCGATGACGGAGGGCAGTCTTGTAGACGAAAGGGAAATCGTAAACCCTCTCTCCCTCTTTCTTCAACTTCAGCTCCTCTTCTTCTCTTTTTCCCTTTTCCTTTCAGTAAAATAGAATTTTAATTTATTATTTTGTTTCGTAGGCTCAACGAAACGAATCGGACAGGTCAATACCCAAATGGTCACTACACTTGAGGTTGCTAACAAAATAGCCACTGAACTTATATTTTAACAAAACTAGAGATTCAGTGGTTTTCTGTTTCTCAGACTTATTGACTCTAAATGAATATATATATATGGCAAAATCCCAATATCCCAACCCTTTCCTCCCATTATAAGGCCAAAATGGTATCCTCTCATTCTCCTAGTCAAAATAGACTTTCCTTCGCCAAAATGAATAATAAATATTATAGGAACAATTAATAAATCAAACTGTCAATTGGTACAAGTAGGAAAAGAGAAAGCATAGAGGAATGAAAAATACAAATACAATATTGCTCTAATAATCTCATCCATTCCCTGCAAGTAATCGTCCTCTCCCTTTCCAAATCGACCTCGTCCCGTCAAAGGGGGAGCTCGCCGTCGAAGGCTGGTCTGAAAGTCAAGAAGACCAAAGTGAATAAGAACGGCGCCAAAAGAGTCTCGCTGAACCCCTACAAACCTTTGCAGATATGGTCCCCGGTCAAGGAGAAGAAGTCCAAATCCAATTCGCGTATAGCCTCGCTCACCCTCCAGGATATTCAGGCTTGGACTGCCGCGGGACTCCACCGATGAAGCTGCCGACAATCGAGGAAGAAACTACTCCTATGGACGAAGCCTCCTCCGTGACGGTGACGGGGAATTCCTCAGAGCAATCCCCGACTTCTTGATTTGGTGAACTCGTGCCTTTTCCTTCGCTTTTATCCCTTATTGTTTATTTATGTCTATGTCTAACACTATTAAAATTCTCTCGTGGAATGTGGGTGGAGCTGGGAGTAAGGTTTTTGCCTGATCCTTGCGGCCTACAATCCAAACTCATAGACCTGATTTCCTTGTTTTACTTGAACCACAGATCAGCGGAAACACGGCAAATGTGTTGTGTGATAAGCTAGGATACCCGAATGTGATCAGAGTGGAAGCCGAGGGCATAATGGGGGGCATCTGGGTCTTTTGGGATGCCGGCCTGTTCCCAATTCAGATCATTTCTGCCTGTAGTCAACATCTTTCTATGCACATCTGCCAGGCAAATGCTAATCCTTGGGTTCTCACTGCTGTCTACGCCGCCCCCAGGCAAAGCCAACAGAAGGATTTATGGGATAAACTCATTGTTCAAAGTCATGAGTTGAATATTCCATGGATTATGACTGGGGACTTTAATGCCATCCGTGCACTGGAAGAGAAGTCTGGGGCGGTGTCGGCATCTACTACTCGCCGTTGTTGCCGTTTTAATGACCAGATCAACGAGGGTGAGCTTATTGACCTCGGTTTCTCTGGCCCGTGTTTCACCTGGACTAGAGGCTCCCAACATGCAACCTACAAAGCTAGCCGTATTGACAAGAGCCTCTGCAATCTGGCTTGGAACACTTCCTTCCCCAATACCTCGGTCCTTCATCTTCCTCGCCTCCACGTAGATCACAATCCGATTCTTACCTTGGTGGCCACCCAGGGGCATTCTACCTCTCTCTCTCTCGTTCCTTTAAATTTGAGGCTGCTTGGTTTACACATAATAATTTTACGGATTTTGTGGCAGGGCAATGGAAACAGGAGGAACTGCTACATGATGCTCTTCGCGAGCTGGCCACCGCGTTGCAGACTTGGAACACTAATGTGTTTGGGAATGTTCAGCAACGTAAACGTCGCCTGTTGGGGAGGCTTCGAGGCGTGGAGGCAAGGCTGGCATTCATGTTCACACCTGGCCTGGCAAAACTGCACGATAAGTTGGAAGCTGAACTTGACAAGGTGTTGGAGCAAGAGGAAATCATTTGGTTTCAACGAGCAAGGGAGAAATGGGTCAAGTTTGGAGAGCGAAATACTCCCAGACCGGACGGATACCAGGCAGCTTTTTACCAACAGTTATGGCAGACAGTGGGGAAGAGCTTGACTGATATGGCTCTCTCGTTCTTCTCCATCGGCTCCCTGCCAGCTTCAGTCCTGGAGTCTACTCTTGTGCTTATTCCTAAAGTGGAAACGCCGAAGACGATGATGCAGCTCTGACCCATTTCCCTGAACAACGTCAGTCTGAAGGCTATCACGAAGGCCATGACTAACCGGCTGAAACCGGTTATGAGAAAGTTGATCTCCTCAAGACAAAACAGTTTCATTCCTGGGAGACAGACTATGGACAACATTATTGCAGTTCAGGAAATTATGCACTCTTTCAGGAAAAAGAAGGGGAAGAAAGGAGGGATGAGGGATGATCTTCAAGATTGATCTGGAGAAGGCTTATGACAAACTCAGGTGGGATTTTCTTAGGGACACGCTAATGGAGATAGGTCTGACGAGTTCATGGATCAACTGTATTATGTACTGTGTGGAGCAGAACCGGATGCGGGTGCTCTGGAATGGCTCTCTCTCTCAACCGATCACCCCAACCCGCGGAGTTCGTCAGGGAGACCCTCTATCCCCTTACCTCTTTGTCTTGTGTATGGAGCGCCTTTCGCATTTGATAGATAGAGCAGTTTTGGATAAATAATGGAAACCGTTGAAACTTAACCAGAATGGCCCGCCTCTCACGCACCTCTTTTTTGCAGATGATCTTTTACTTTTTGTTGAAGCTGAGTCGAGACAGATCAGGACCATCAAGGCCTGCCTGGACGATTTTTGCTTTAGCTCGGGGCAGAGGATCAACTACAACAAGTCGATGGTGCACATTTCTCCAAACATTCCCAGGTCCAAGGCGATGACTCTGAGCCAAAGAGCTGATATTCCTCTCAAGACTGACTTAGGGAAATATCTCGGCATTGAGGCCATTCACGGGTGGGTCACGAAGACAAGGTATCAAGGGTTGGTGCTGCGTATCCAGAAAAAGCTGGCTCCCTGGAAAACTAGAAGGCTCTCGTTGGCTGCCCGTCTCACTGTCGCTGGTTCGGTAACTTCCTCCATACTTGTTTATCATATGAATACTGAGATGATTCCGAGTGTAGTGTGCAAAATCATAGACAAGATCAATAGGGATTTCATCTGGGGCGAGGAGGAGAACCAACCTAAGATGCACTTGGTGTCTTGGGACAAGATGACTTCTCCAAAGACTCAAGGAGGAGTTGGGCTTCGTTCCCTCATACAAGCGAACCTAGCAATGCTGGCAAAGAATGTGTGGCGACTCATAACGGACAGAGATGCCTTTTGGTCCAAGGTGATGCGGGCAAAGTATGAAAGACAGAGGGACGGGCTGGACATTCTAAGACCAATTCAGGGAAGTTCTTTTACCTGGCAGAGCTTTGCTAAAGCTTCCAGCCTTCTTTAGAAAGGTTGTGCGTGAAACATTAAGAATGGAAGGAACACTAAATTTCGGCATGATATCTGGTGTCTACAGGTACCCCTCAAGGAGGTTGCTCTTAGCCAGGTCCCGGATGAACTTGAGGAAGCAAGGGTAGCGGACTTTGTGGACCAGGATGGTAGATGGAGGACCGAGCTCTTCAACACGCTGCTGCCGATAGAGATCCAACACAAAATCACCTCCATCGCGGTTGACACCTTATCCAGTGGGAATGACGAGCTGTTTTGGACGCCCTTGGTGGATGGGCACTTTTCGGCAAAGTCGGCATACAACCTGCAAAACCAGGAATTTCAGGATCCGGACGAGAAGCTTTGGAGAACTATTTGGAGACTTCCGACTCCTTAGAGGATCAGGACGTTCACGTGGACAGTTCTCTTGGGGAAAATTGCCACGAACTCGCTTCGTTTTGCTAGGAAGTGTGCAAGTAACCCCTTCTGCTCCAGATGCCAGGGAACTCCAGAGACCATTGTGCATATCCTCAGAGATTGCCCGTCGGCGCCATTTTTTGGAACCGCCAGATCCCGGGAGCAGAGCAGGGGCATTTTTTCAGCTAGGATCAGGATGCCTGGCTGCGAGAGAACATTGGTAAGGAAGCTTCCTCTGACATGGGGCCCTCCTGAGGGACTTTCTTCTGTATTGCAGTATGGTTGATATGGAAGAACAGGTGCACTACCTCTTTCAGGGGGCGCAAGCGGCTCTTTCCCCTCCCTCGCCTGCCTACTCCATCAAGGCCAAGGTCAAGCTTTGGCATGAGGCTTGGGCTGCCCCCTCTCCGATGCCAGATAACCGACGCCAACCAGCAGATCGTGTCACAACCAGCATTGGCTGGAAACAACCCCCAGAAGGATGGATAGCTCTGAACATTGATGGTGCTTCGTGCGGGAACCCGGGTCAAGCCGGGGCTGGTGGTCTCCTTCGAGACGCTACAGGGAAGTGGATCACCGGCTTCACAGCCAGCATTGGGTCGGCGACTGCGGCTCTGGCCGAGTTATGGGCGTTTTATTATGGGCTTGATTTAGCTTGGAAAGAAGGATGTCGAGCTGTCATTGTGCAGTCTGACTCTCAACTGGCCATTCAGCTTCTTGAGAAGAGACACGATCTTGTCAACCCTTATTCTACTTTTCTTTTGGACATTCGGAGGAAACTAAGCCTTGACTGGCTGGTAAGCATTTCTCATACATACCGGGAAGGAAATAGAGCCGCGGACTGGTTCTCGAAGCACAGTCTCGTCTATCCCTACGGTATGCATGAGCTTGCTAACTCGCCATCAGGGCTAGTTCCCATTCCGCAGGATGATGTTAGGGGGTGTGTTTTGAGCCCCGGATTGTTCCGGGAACGCTTTCCCCTGCCCTTTCCTCTTAGCCCCCCTTTTCTGCTCTGGTTTGGTGGTTTTCGCCTCCTGTAATGCCAAACAAAAAAAACTACCAACAATCAAAATGGGGATAATAAATCGGGAACAATTATGCACATCGCTTCTTCTTGAACAACAGTATGTCTCAATGAA